CCCTTCTTTTAGGGGGCCTTTTGAAGCCTTTTGAAGCATTTTGGTGGCTCTTGGGGTCTCTCGGGGCCTTGTTCGGACCTTCGGCGTGTCAGAGGTTTTATTCATTTAAAGGTCAGGGAACCTATTAATGAATTTTTCGCCAATGAGTATTTCAATCGCTAGGGTTTAAGCTCGGGTTCGGGGTAGCCTCGGCCCTTTTCGGGCCTTCGGCAAGTAGGGCCCGTAGAGGCCCTTATTTGCTTGAAGGCCTTCGCAGGGTTTTGCGGTGTTAGTGTTTAAGCTGGGGTTCGGGGTAGCCTCGGCCCTTTTCGGGCCTTCGGCACGTTAGGGCCCGTAGAGGCCCTTATTTACTTGAAGGCCGTCGTAGGGTTTTGCGGTGTTAGGGTTTAGGTTGGGGTAACCTCGGTCCTTTTCGGGCCTTCGGCACGTCAGGGCCCGTAGAGGTCCTTGCTGATTTGGGGGGACCCATCGATTTCAGTACTAAAAAAAGAACATTTTTCATTGCGGGCAGGGGTGCCTAAAACCATCGTTTTCAATTTTCAAAAATCGCATTTTTCATTGTGGGCACGGACAAATCTTGTGGTCCCCCTTCTTGACTGGGCCTTTTGAAGCTTTTTGAAGCCTTTTGGTGGCTCTTGTCGCCTCTTGGGGGCTTCCTGGGCGTGCGATTCCCTGCAAGGGCGTTGGTGTGGGGGGCCCTTGGCCGAGCCCTGGTTGGGGGGGCCCTTGGCAGGGGTGATTGGGCAGGGGGGGTGGAGTTCCCGGGCTTGGCTTGCCCCTGGACCCGGGGGGCCCTTGGCTTTGGGGGTCTTGGCAGTTGGAAGGCACTCAATGAGCACATCGGCCAACAGGTTTGGCGAAGCTCACCCTCGGTTTGCGAAGCTCACCCTCGGTTGGCGCGGGGGCCCTGTTTGGGGGGGGGTTTGCCTAAAAGGTTGCGGGGGCCCTTGACCCGGAAAAGCCCTTGGTCCTTGGCCCGGGCCCCTTGGCCGGCAGGGCCCTTGGCCCGGCGCCCCTTGACCCGCTTTTGGTGGGCCGTGGCGGGGGTCTGGTCTGGGGGCCCTTGGCCAGGGGGGCCCTGGCCCAGGCCCGTGGCGCGGGGGGGGGCCTTCGCGGGGGGGGGGAACCCTTGGCCGCACAACCCTTGGCCCGATTTGGGTCCCATTCCCTTGAATGGGGGCAAGCCTTGGCCCAGGGTGCCCTTGGCCCGGGGGCCCCTTGGCCCGGGGGCCCCTTAACCCACGGTTGCCCCGGGGGGCCTTGGCCCAGAGGATTCTTGGGTTGTGGGGGGGAAAAGACCCAAAATCACGAACCTCAGCAACCAGCCTGCCTAAACCCCTCGCCAGCCTCCTGGTCCAGGAATCCAGCAACCAGGGGCCAGGGCGGGGGGGCCCGGCAACCCTGAACCCAAAACCCTGAACCGACCTCCAGAGGCAAAGGGTTACGATTTGGGGTTATACTTTAGCTACGCTAAAGGTGGTCTGGGTGCCGGCCATCCCTTAGCCGAGTACTGACGTTGTCGTAAAAAAGGCCGATGTCCGTTGGCCTGTCCAGGACAGACGGTGAGGCTTAACCCTCACCTTTCCGTTTCTCTTTTCGCTTGGGCGCTCGGGCTGTAAGGCCCTCGGCCGAGCGTTCGGGGTCTGTCGCTCGACGGAAGCGACCCCTCACTTAGTATAGGGTATAGGGTATAGGGTTTAGGGTTTAGGGTTTAGGGTTTAGGGTTTAGGGTTTAGGGTTTAGGGTTTAGGGTTTAGGGTTTAGGGTATAGGGTTTAGGGTTTAGGGTTTACGGTTTAGGGTTTAGGGTTTAGGGTTTAGGGTTTAGGGTTTAGGGTTTAGGGTTTAGGGTTAGGACCCTGGAGTTTAGGGCTTCGGGGGGTTTGGAATTTAGGGTCTAGGGTTTGGAGTTTAGGGTTTTGGGTTTGGAGTTTAGGGCTTTGGGTTTGGAGTTCAGGGTTTGGGGTTTGGAGTGTAGGGTTTTGGGAATAGCCGGACATCCTCGATCATCACGCACCCCTGACCGGCACCACAACGCACACTTCGGCGGAACTGGCCGAGGCTCACGCTGCTCGGACTCAGTGCTGCCAGCTGGGGTTGCCTCATGGAGCAGGACAGATTCCACCCTCCATCTTCAAGGGGCAGAAGGGATCCCTACCCATGCCGCCGCAGTGCCTAAACCCCCCTCCGACACCTCCACCCAAGATGGACTTATGGGTTCTTAAGGGAGTAGTCGGGAGTATTTGGGAACCTTGGGTTACCTACCCCCTGAACCCCCCTCCCTTCAGAGCGCGATGGAAGCATTCCGGGTCGTGCACGGGCCCTCTCGGAGGCCGCCCCTGTGCTGCGACTGGCCGAGGGATCACGGGAGCAGGTGAGCCTGGAGGGGGGAGTCGCGCCAGGGTTTAGGGTTGTTGAGGGTTTGGGGTTTAGGGTTCAGGGTTTAGGGTTTGCTGGGATACGGCACGAAGGCTGTGAAAAATATGTGAACTTGAGCAGATCCTCGAAGGCCTCGCTCAATGCGAAGGGCAGCCGTGGCCCGATCGTGGAGGGACTTCCCAACACCCCACGCCGTCTCAGGCATCCAGAGAGTGCCGGAAAGTAGAGGTTTCGGTCGGTTAGAGGTCTGAACCAGGGAGGTGTCAGGGGGGTCTGTGGGAACCCATATTTCCGTTCAGAAGGCCCCGGTAAATGATGCCTGATTTGCCACCGAAGAACTTAGTTAACCCACCTCGAGTTTTGAATTGCTTTGCTTGCGACGCAGACGTGGAGGGGCTTCGGAACCAACCCCCACTTGAGTTTAGGGTGTAGGGTATTGGGTTCAGGAAGTTTAGGGTCGAGGGCTTAGGGCTTAGGGCTTAGGGCTTAGGGCTTAGGGCTTAGGGCTTAGGGCTTAGGGCTTAAGGCTTAGGGCTCAGGGCTTAGGGCTTAGGGGTCCAACACTGAGGGCCTTGGAGGTTCAATCCCGCACCGACCGGCCGCTCGCTGCCTGGAGGCTTCGCTATCTTGGGGGGGAAACCCTAAGCCCTAGAACCCTAAACCCTGAACCCCAAACCCTAAACCCTCAACCCGCTATCCCTAAACCCGAGATAAACACTAAACCCTACATGCGGGGGGGGCGGGGGGGGGGGCGGGAGGGTACCCGAGTACCCTTCGGTCAAGGGGATTCTATTCGGTATTTGGGGTCTGGCAGGGGTACCCCAATTCTGGGGTTCTTGGTAGGCAGTTTGGGGTGGGTTCAGGGTTTTTGGAACGAAGGACCCCATGGAATACGAGTACCTTCAACGGGGCATCATGTATATACCTGATTCCCTGTGGAGAGCCTGTAAGTTGAGGAAAACTTCTGGGAAGCGACGCCATCTCCGGTAGTATGGGAATTGGACATGATGGCCCCTTATAGGGTTCCCATTGGAATATGGAGCCTTCCATTCAGATTACCCCGAAAAAGGCCACAATTTAGATCAACGCCCATGTACTTTTGTCATGCTGCACGTCCTTCGGTCGCCTGTTCGGAACAAAGGACACACAGATTGTCGCGCGGGAAGCGCGTGGCACGTGGGAACAACCAGCCCCAGCAGTTTGCCTTCCGACCGAGCAGAGGGTGCGGAGGGCGGCTCGCGGTAGCCGGCTGCCTCTGCGAAGGTTAGCTGTTCAAGACCATATGGGGGTTCACGAAAATAGGGAAATAGGGGACCCCTGAAATCGACAATTTCGGAAACCCCGATATACATAAATGAACAAGGTCGAGAGTCTGTATCTGTCTACACACTTTCTAAACCCTAAACCCTAAACCCTAAAATGTAAACCCCAAAATAAAACACTAAGTGCAAGAGTTCGGTCTCTAAGTGCTGGGCTTTCCCGCGCGGTGACTCTACGACCACTTCCACACCACCAGGACGCTTCAAGCCTCTGCCCGGTGAGACGGTTTAAGGTATAGGGTTTAGGGCTTACAGTAGGGTGTTGTAAGGTTTAGGGATTAGGGTTTAGGGTTTGGGGTTTCGGGTTTAGGGTTTAGGGTTTAGGGTTTAGGGTTTAGGGTTTAGGGTTTAGGGTTTAGGGTTTAGGGTTTAGGGTTTAGGGTTTCGGGTTTAGGGTTTAGGGTTTAGGGTTTAGGGTTTAGGGTTTAGGGTTAGGGTTTAGGGTTTAGGGTTTAGGGTTTAGGGTTTAGGGTTTAGGGTTCAGCCGCCCCTTGTAACGAAACAGACACACAGAAGGTCACCAAAGCACCTGGGGGTTTCCGAAAATAGGGGACCCCATAAATACTAGGATTCCCTGAAGATAAGGACCCTAAAAAGGTACCCCCCGAATTTCGGAAACCCCCACTTCGAAGGATGTTGTGCCGAGGGCTGGACCCATCACAGCCTCATCCTGTGAGCACGGGTCGAACCACGAGGGAGCTTCAAGACGCTGCTAGGAGAGGCCCCTTTTCTACCCCAACCAAAAAAAACTCGCCCCCAACCAAACAGTTTGAACCACCCACCCTCCCCCCCCCCCACTCACTGAAGAACCCATGAGTTTCGGAAAACCTCCACGAGAGTAGCCAGGCTTGTGCGGGCTCCTCTGCCGTGAAGACTGTGCCAGGAACGGGATCGCAGGCGGCCTCCCAAAATGCAGGGTTTAGGGTTAAAAGGTTCGGGGTTTAGGGTTTAGGGGCCAACAAATTCATCATGACGGCCTCTGCGATGGTGTGTCGATGCTTCTATATGCCCTTATGCAGAGTAACCCCACCTAAACCCCAAAAACCCTTGGGTTCGAGTCTCAGCAAGGGACTCCCTTGGACAGCGCCGGCGGAATGTAGCCACTCGTGGCAGGAGTCGTGACCGCAGAATGCGCTGGGCTGCTCGCAGAATCCTTCCGACGCTGCGCTGGTGTGCATTCAGGCAACGGCTAATTCAAGATGCTTAAACCCGGGTTTCAGAACAACAAACCGCTACTCTTTTTTTGGTATGCTATTGCTATCAAATGGCAAAGTAAGTAGGCTTAGGGCTCGCGAGGTAATCCCTAGGCCCGCCATTCCTGCAAGGTGCTCGGTCGAGGTTCCTCGGCACCTGACAAGCGCTTTCTGGTTCAAACCCCCTCTCGCGACGATGATGCGGGGGGAAGGGAGGGGCTGTTCTGCGTCAGGGTCCCCTTCTAGAAACCTCGTAAGCAGGTGGAGGCGAGAACCGGTAGAACCGAGAGGCAACCCCCTGCATTTCCATACCTGCTTATCCCAAAGCCACGGCCACAGGGGAAAGTTCAGGGTTCGGGCCTCCTTGGGGGAGTGCTTGGTCAACATCCTGGCTCACCTGGGGCGTGGCCACGAGCTCCCCAGCCTGGTCCAAAGGATTTCTCTGGCTACTGTGACGAACATTGCCACGGCTATTACTGGGCAGTACTCGTCGTATTTCTGGCATCGCTTATTGTGACCACAAAGTTCCTTAAAATCCAGCTTCAGTCGCGGGAGCCGGCCTGCCAGGCCATGCTGGCGTCCGGCTTCTCTTCACACGCCAGCATCGAAGGTCCTGGCATCATGCTCCCCTTAACCCCTGAACTCCTGAACCCCTGAATCCCTGAACCCCTGAACCCCTGAACTCCTGAACTCCTGAACTCCTGAACTCCTGAACTCCTGAACCTAAACCCTAAACCCTAAACCCTAAACCCCTAAGCCCTAAACAGAGCAGAGTCCGCCTGCGCCTTCGGACACCAGCTCGGTCAAGTGCGAGCTCTGCTGCCTGTGCACGTCCACCATGGCTTCGAGGCCCCTCATAGATATCTGTAGATCTATCTATCTATCGATATACATGTATATATATATATATATATGTAGGTATAACTATATATACATATATATATATATATGTAGGTAGAACTATATATATATATATGGACGGTATATTTATATATATATATATGGATACACACCCTCAACCCCCCCCCCCCCCCATGACCTACCGCTCTCTTTTTCCTCCTAAATACCGTTTATGTATGTACTTACATGTATATATATATATATACATATATTGTGCTCTTTTGCCCATGTGTGGTTGCCCGCCAGGGCCCCTGCGACAGCTTCAGGGACTGCGGGCCCTGCGAGAGCTTCAGAGACTGCGTAGCTGCAGCTTCCAGAATCTCGCGTTCGGCGTCCAACTCCGTGCACGGAGCCTTGTCCTGGTCAAGAAGACCCCAAACCCCAAACTCGAAATCCCATACCGCAAATCGTAAACCCCGGAGCTTGGCAGGTGGGGCCCTATGCCCACGCCGAAACCTCCGTGTTTTTAGGGGTGGAGGGTTTAGGGCTCATGGTGAGCTGGTTTCAACGGAACAGTCTAGACAAGTGGTGATGACGCAGTAAGTTAAGAGACCCTGTCTCAAACCGAACCCTATTTCAAAAGGCACTCATATACAAGGCCACTCGGTTGAAAAGCAAGATCAAACGTGAGCTGAGCTGGTCCTGCGACTCACAGCCGTCGATGAGCAAATCACCTTGCAGGGGCATGGCGCTGCTGATGCCCAGCCCATGGCCTTCACTAAAAGGTGCTTGAGGGAAAGGGTTGTGGGTACGTAACCCAATCATTGGCTCACCGAACCTCCAGGCAAGGCAGTTGGTGAAGCCTCACTCTTCTCCTGACCTTGCCAGGGACGGCACGCTAGAGCCAACACAACTTATTGTTGGCTAGTAGGCCCCATTTAATCCTTTTTTAGGGATTAAGACGGGTACCTCATTCCCCCATTCCCGGCAAACCAACAGTATGACAAAGCGAGCTAACATCATGCCTTCTGGCACAGGCGCCGCCCCGTGGCTCCGTATGCTCAGTGCCAGGTCACCTGCCCGATCTTCCTTCCTTTTTACGGTTCAGGGTTTCGGGTTTCGGGTTTCGGGTTTAGAGCTTAGTCTTCTGCGCCTTCGTTGCCTTCAGGCTCGCTGCCATGTGGCACATCCAGACCTGAAGCAAAGGAACCACGCAGTGTTGTTAGGGTTTCGGGGTTTAGGGTTCACAGCGTAGGGTTTGGGTCGAATGCTTGAGGCTTATGCAATTGATTATTTGCTTCTTGCTTCGTTTCTGTGCCTATTTGTTGATTTTGTGTATTTTGTTTACGTATTTCTTATCATATCATATCATGTACCCTAACATATCAGATCCCATCATATCATATCAAGAGAAACGAGTGTGAGTATGATTTTCTAGAATACAACGCAACAAACTGGAAAGGTTATATCAATATGTCATAGTATCATAGAAGATCATATCATAACATAACATGCAGTAGAAAACATAAGATAGAATACGTATTCTGCTCTAAAACTGGCAAAGATACGATAAACAATAACAACAATAATCATAACGAAAAACTGTTCTGATACATGTATATATATATATATATATGTGTGTGTTGTTGTCTAACTATTAGTAAGGCTATTATATAAACATGTACAACCTTTAAAAATTATATACGAAAAGATGCTTAAAATAGAGAATTATGGTCCTTCTGTAGATGGCGGCGCCACGCCAGAGCCAACACAACTTATTGTTGGTTAGTAGGGAATGGGTGAATGAGGTACCCTTAATCCTTTTAAAGGATTCAAACGGGTACCTCATTCCCCCATTCCCTGCTAACCAACAGTATGACAAAGCGAGCTAACATCATGCCTTCTGGCACAGGCGCCGCCCCGTCGCTCCGTCCGCTCAGCGCCAGGTCACCTGCCCGACGTTCCTTCCTTTTTAAGGTGTAGGGTTTCAGGTTTAGGGTTTAGGGTTTCGGGTTTAGGGTGTAAGGTTAGGGTTTTGGGTTTCGAGTTTAGGGTTTAGGGCTGAGGGTTTAGGGTTTAGGGTTTAGGGTTTAGGGTTTAGGGTTTAGGGTTTAGGGTTTAATCTTCTGCGCTTTCGTTGCCTTCAGGCTCGCTGCCAGGTGGCACATCCAGACCTGAAGCAAAGGAACCACGCAGTGTTGCTCGGGTTTCGGGGTTGAGGGTTCACAGCGTAGGGTTTGGGTGTAGGGTCTGGGTTGAAGGCAAACAGAGGATGATCGAGCTTCTGCACATGGCGCCTGCTGTGTCGGGGGCTCCTGGAGGCTTCGGAGAGGTGGCCTCGACTTGCGCCAACACCTCGTCAAACAAAATCTCTCGACACAGCGTGCGCCAACTCGGGTTTTGGGGTTTAGGGCTTAGGGTCTAGGGCAAGTTTAGGGTTTGAACCGAACCCTAAAACCCCCAAAGCCTCCAAGCCCCTGAGCCCCTTCCAACGAAATCCTAAACTACCCAACCCCTAAACCCCCCAAAACCCCGAAAAACCCCAAAACCCTCAAACCCCTCAAACCCCTAAAACCTCTAAAGCCCCTAAAACCCCTAAAACCCCTAAAGCCCCTCAACACCCCTAGCCACCCCTAGACCTTTTGGGGCTTCCGACATCCTCGCGGCGCAGGGTCTTCAGCTCCATGGCATCCTCCTCTTCCGAGTCGAAGCCTCCGGCTTGGTGCTTCGGATGTTGGGAGGGGGTTTTGGGGGGGTTTAGGTTTAGGGTTTAGGGTTTAGGGTTTAGGGTTTAGGGTTTAGGGTTTAGGGTTTAGGGTTTAGGGTTTAGGGTTTAGGGTTTAGGGTTTAGGGTTTAGGGTTTAGGGCGTCTCGCCGCGCAGCGGCAGTAAGTAGCATGTGTCAATGGCGCCTACACACCCAGGGGGTGTGGGGGGGCGGCATGTCACGCGAAGGCATCTGTTTTCAATGTAATCCAACAATTTCATTGGTGCTGGGTTCTTTCTCCCCACCCGCTGTGAGCTTTCACAGGCCACCACCCAAACCACTCCCTTATAGCCCCCCCCCTGGCCCCCCCTGCTCCCCTGGCCCCCCTGGCCCCCCCAGGCCTGCTGGCCTCTTTGGGCCCCCACCAGGACGACCCAAACAACCCTTTTTGGGCTCTGGAAGGGGTACCCCGTGGCAGACCCCCGATTTCAGGATTTTCGGGCCGACGTCCAGGGGGTCTCAGGAGGGGTCCCAGGGGGCTCCGTGGGTGGCGACGTTCTCAGGGTATTCCCATCAAGGGGAGTATCTGAGTACTCCTGTGCCTGGCTGGCCCAGCGACAGCTGGCCATAGGCGAGGCGAGCCCTAGGGGCTCTCTATTCGACCACTCTCCAATGGCTCCACCCAATGTCCATCCGGTAAAGGTGTCCGTCACTGCCGGATGTCTTCTGGGTCCAGGCACCCTCGTAAAGGGTGGGTACGGCCTAAGCAGGCCGGGTGGGAATTTAGGGTTTAGGGTTTAGGGTTTAGGGTTTAGGCTTTAGGGTTTAGGGTTTAGGGTTTAGGGGGTTTAGGGCTTTTAGGCTTTAGGGTGTCATAGTGGGACCCCCTGCGGCATGTTCTGTTCTCCTCTGCCCTTGAAACGTCTCATCTTCTCTTCACATAGCAGAAGCTAGTGCTCGCTGCCTCGCAGCGTTGAGCAAAAGAGGGAGAGGCTCTCTGCCGAAGCAGAAAAGCGGGAGACTCAGTAGAGTCCTGTGCAACTCAACCGGCCGGCCAACGTCTTCGTGAACTTCCGGCCTTGCCTCAAATAGAACGAAGAAACCTGCAGAGATATGTACAACGAAACGCAGGCGGCTGAATTTCCATAAGTGCAGCCCCAGGCATCCTCTGCACCACAGTACTGCAGTATGACTACACCTTTCTACTCCACTGATGCTGCTGTGGCTGCGGCTGCTTGCTGCTGCCGATACTGCTGCGACTGACACTCACTACTACGGCAGAGCCTGGCCACTCAGCTCGTGGAAACCACACGGAAGTCTTCAAGCGAGAGCTGCCGGAGGCGTCGGCAGTACTCCTTCACTTTGTATACTGGAATATACTCCTAACACTGTAAACGACTTTGATACAGCATAATATATACTATCGTATACCATAGCATACTACAAGCATACGAAATCACAGTATCCTGCAGGAAGACATTGCCTGCCTGAAAGGATGGCTTCACAACGAGTTATCGGGCGAAAGAATATCAAGAAATTTCTGCGAAGAGGTAAGACTAGCAATCTCTTCAAGCAAAATCGGAGACGGCATGTCCACAACATACGGCATGCTATGCCATACTACCATAGCAGAGTTATAGTAAATCTTAAACCCGAAACCCGAAAGCCGAAACCCTAAACTCTCTTTGCTGCCCCTTCGACTTCTTGGCAACTCCTACCAGCTCAGCTTCACTGGCAACAAGCACACAAGCACAATGCGCTGAAGGTTTTGCATGGCCTGCTGACAGTGCAAGCCCTTGCTGCTAGTCAAGGCAAACAAGGCTGCGGGGTGCCTCCAACAAGCTTCAAGCTCACTCGCCCTGCAGATTCAAGGTTGCGGGATTACGGGTCGTCGGCTGCTCTCCGGCATTGTTTTCCCCGACTCGCAATCGCTTTCCGTAGCTGCAACCCGACCGAGCAGACTGGAAACTCCCAGGTATGAGTCGTGGCTTGGGCTGGTCCGGCTGCAGAGGCAGCACACGCGAGCCTTTACCATCAAACACAAGGAGGCTACGGTCGTCAGATCAGGTAGCTATGAAACCCTATCATAAAGAGTGAGATCGACCAGGGTCCACCACACACAAACAACGCAAACAAACACCTTTGGGCTTCCCAGATCCTCGAGACTCCATGGCGACCCGGTGGTCACTTTCCCCGTGTTGCCTTCCTTGTACCAGGAGGTGCACCTGCTGTCAGCCCAGACACGAGTCCTCGCACAGCAGCGGCATTTGCATTTGTTATGGCAGTCGTAGTTGCTCTCGCCGTAGCAGTCGCAGTGGCAGAAGCAGTAGCAGAAGCGGACGCAGAAGCAGTAGTAGCAGCAGGAGTAGCAGTAGCAGTAGTAGCACTAGTAGCAGTAGCAGCAGTAGCAGCAGTTGTGGAGTAATATCTGACACAAACATCGGAGCTTGACGGAGCTGTACGTCACTGGTCCTCTGAGCTTCGTCCAGCTCTGCGTTGTAGGTCTGGAAGACCTCCTCACGTACCTCCATGCTCTGGATGCGTACAGGGTAGCATAGCACATTGCGATGCACTTTGGTACTCATTTTCTAGCATACATACGGGGATTTCCGAATACAAGGGTACCCCTTATATACCCAAAATACCTGACAATCCCTCTAAAGGAACACCGAAAAAGGGTGCCCCTTTTTTCGGAAACCCATATATACACGTGTGTACCTTAATCTTGCTGTTGGTTAGTGGGGAACGAGGGAATGAGGTACATTGCATCATTCTTTAAAGGGTATATACAGGGGGATATAGGGTACATGAGGCACCCTACATAATCCCTTAAAGGGTATATGCAGGGGGATATAGGGTACCTCATTCCCTCATTCCCCCCTAAACCCTAAACCCTAAACCCTAAACCCTAGACCCTAAACGGTTGGACCTCCATGCTCTGCAGCCCATTCTGAATCATGGTCGTGCAGCACTGCTCGATGTAGCGCGCCTGGCAGGGGCTTAGGGTTTAGGGCTAGGGTCTAGGGCTTGGGGTTTAGGGTTTAGGGTTTTGGGGTTTTGGGGTTTGGGGTTTGGGGTTTGCGGTTTGGGGCTTTGGGTTTTGGGGTTTGGGGCATGCCTTAGAATACTAGAAAACTGTGAAGAGCCTGGTAGCATGTAAAGAGTACTCATCAAGGCCTTCCCGACTTCTGAGGGCGGCGGAAGGACGAAACAGCACGAGGGGAGTGCAACACGTAACGCGTATGCGATGTAAAGGGTACGAGTTCAATGACAGGGTGCGATAAAACGGGTACCACAGTACACATAAGGTACACTGCCACAAGAGATTTCAAGCGCCACCCCTGAGGACGATTATCTTGTAAAGGACTCAATGTTGACGTACCGAAAAGTGCGTTGCCTGGTTCTCTGCAACCCAGACGATGCTTCCCCCCGCAGCCACATTGGAGTTCGGGCCGTAGGTCATGAAGAAGTTGGGGAAGCGCGGCACGGACACGCCAAGGTAAGCCGAGGGCTCCCGACCCCAGAAGTCCTGACAGCCAAGATGCAAGTATAGTTGAATATGCTGTAGTAAGTGTAACACGTATTATCATGTGCTTAAGTACTTTGGAATGTATGATCATACACTTGCAATATAAGATATTGCAATATGCAATATGCTACAGATTTTGATTACCCTATGATGTCCTTAGCAGGGTCTTGGACTGTACTCTAACATACGACAGTCGCATGCTATAAGAAATATTAGATAACAGCATGCTGCTGCAACTTACCATACTCTCATACCCATGCCAGAGCACATTCTGGTGATCTCTGGTGCATGAACCTCCCTCTCCTGACCCCTAACCCCTAACATCCTGAAAGCCTTGAACCCAAAATCCTCAAACTTCAGGGACTCGCTTGGCAGAGAGTTTAGGTGTTGGGTTTTGTTCGGGATAAGTCCTGGAGCGCAAGCCCGTCGCGTCCGAAGATCTTCATGGCCGCCAAGCAGAATTCGGTAGATCGGAAGCCGGTCGCCCAAACGATGATGTCCACATCTGCTGCGACCTTTGGGGCTTCTGAAATTCGGGGATTTCGGGCGGGGTTTAGGGCTTAAGAGTTGTAGGGTTGTAGGGTTGTAGGGTTGTAGGGTTGTAGGGTTGTAGGGTTGTAGGGTTGTAGGGTTGTAGGGTTGTAGGGTTGTAGGGTTGTAGGGTTGTAGGGTTGTGGGGTTGTAGGGTTGTAGGGTTGTAGGGTTGTAGGGTTGTAGGGTTGTAGGGTTGTAGGGTTGTAGGGTTGTAGGGTTGTAGGGTTTAGGGTTTTCAGGGGTTTTTCGGGTTTAGGAATCGGGGTTTAGGTTTAGGGCACCAAAGGGACGTTGAGAAGCCCCCCACCTCTCCTGGATTCTCTGCGACCACGCTCTTGGATTGAACGCGCGACACGTGGGAGTTGATCAGCGTCACGTTCTTCCGCTTCAGCAGCTCGAACCAGCCGTTGTCCACCAAGAGGCGGGTGCCTTATGGTTGGTTAACAGGGAATGAGGGAACGAGGGTCCTTTCTGTTTGGGGTTTAGGGCTTAGGGTTAACTAGGGTCCTTTCTGTTTAGGGTTTAGGGTTTAGGGCTTAGGGTTTAGGGTTGAGGGTTTATGGTTTATATACCCTTTAAGGGAGTATATAGTATATAGGGTACCGCAGTCCCCCATTCCCTACTGACCAACAGTAAGGTGCAAGCAGGAGGGTAGTCGGGAAGTGCCTTCTTGAGGAGATCTGGGTGCTCTGCCAGTTGATCTTCGTAGTACGCCTTGAGCGACTGCCAGAGTGACGTGTTCTCGGCAGATTCCGCGGTCATCATTTCTTCATAGATGTCGGTGAAATGTGCCAGCAATTGAAAACGATACCACCTCTCGTAGAAAGGCAAGTTTGCAAAGCACCACCGCTCCCCCTCGGGTATCTCCCATTTGTAGTTCGGGATCCTGCTGCACCACTGGGGAGTTCCCTGAAAGATCGTGACGTGGCTTGCAACCGCTGCAAGAGTAGGGGCAACTTGCATGCAGGAAGCGCCGCTCCCCACGATTGCGACGTGTTTGCCCACAAAAGAAACCTCGCCATCCCAGCGTGCGGTGTGACACTGCTTCCCCTCGAAGTCCTCGCGCCCGGCGACGTGTGGGATCTTGGGCATGGAGAGCATCCCAACCGCGGACACGTAGACATTCGCTGCCATCAGGCCTTTACTTCCGTCCTTCCGATGGAAAGCAACTGACCAGCAGCCGGAAGAAGAATCGAAAGTCGCAGAGTCTACCGAATGTCCAAACAACACATGCTTCGTGACCTCGTATTTGTCTGCCAACCTGTTGAGGTACTCGTTGTTCTCATGGCCTTTGGCAAAGTAGCGCGTCCAGTCTGCGTTGGGATCCGATGAGAAACTGTACACATGGCTAGGCGTGTCGCAGCCAACATTTGGATACACATTGTGGTGCCATGTTCCACCAATGCCCTCACTGCTCTCCAAGACCGTGAATGGAACGCCAGCCTTTTTGAGTCGAATCGCAACTGCCAGGCCACAAACGCCAATTCCACAAATCACCACGTGAAAACTTCCCGCACCCTGAAGGGGCAACTGCGCCGCACTGCTGGGATATCCATACATCTCGTCCAGGAGAAATGCTCTGGCACTCTGCGACATGGGCCTCCGGACGGTCTTCAGTGCCTCGTCCTGCATTTCTAGCCCAGCATGGCGCACAAGCTGCTGGAACAATGGTGAGCTGTCCGGCGCTGCGGCGGGGGCTTGCGATGCACGCAATTGCAACAACAACTCGAGAAGCTTGGTCTCCACAGCCTGCCTGTCTGCCTTCAACCACTTTTCTTCAGCAGTCAGTTGAGCCGTGATGATCTGCAACAACACCAGCTTCGCGTCCCGGAGTCCCCCTCGGATGCAGTCCTCGGAGACGTGCGCTGCGACTGCAGCCTGATTGACCCAGCGGTCCATCGCACGACACTTTACAAGCCTCTACAGAGGGACAGCGGCAAAATATGCTGAAAACCCGGCGAAGTGCAAAGCATCAACTTGAGAAACTGCACAACACCTAAGTGTCCTGCGCGGCCGAGCACCAGCAAGCTATGTGAAATACACACGTATGTATATGGAATACATGGACATATCAATGCAGATAGAGCTGTCATATGAATTTGAATATAAGTATGTATGTATATATATATATGTATATATACATATATATTTACATACAAAGCATTATGTATTTGTGCGCTTGCATCTATATCGGCTTGTATCTCATATTTGTAGAGACAAACGCATGTACCACAGGAACTGCAGCGTCGGTTCACAGCAAGGTGGTTCCATGCTGACCATCAGCTTGCCACCACATTGCAAACTTTGGGGCCAACCAAAAAAAGCTGGTCTTCCTCACTCTTGTTCCCTCAACCTCGTCGGACGTCCCCAGAGAGCCCGATACCCCCTTGATTCAGTAACGTACCTCAAATTACAGCAGGGTTTTCTTTTCACTTCAAGGTTCCTTAACGAAAGGGGTATTGGGCCCTCGGGGGTCTGCCTTAGCAACTCGAGAAACCACGCATGTTGCCCATGTAAATCGTATCCTTTTCATCCTCCTGTTGCGAAAGGTGTGCTTCAAGCGCACCTGAGGTGACCACAAAGCTATAAATTGCTGCAAACACCCCTGAAGGACGGTCATCTGGAGTCTTAGAGCTCCACTCTGATACGGCTTGTCACGCAAGAAGAGCGGGGCACCAGAAAGGACCGAAGGCCCGCCAAGACGAACAAAAGGTGCGCACCCATGGACAGAACCAAACGCCTGACCTTTCGCTTCCCACCGCGGAGATCTTGGCCAGACTTGGGTCCGCGCAGCGCCTGGCAACCAGTGAGCCGGCACCTCATTCTGAGCCACGGCAGTCGCGCGCAGCCGAGCCGTAGATTCTGACTCCTGGCGCGAGATGTTGCGAAGGATGTGAGAGAACTCGTGCCGAAACGCAGCACTCTCTCCTCACCCCACGAGCGTCCGATAGCAATAGGCAGCAGCCTTCCTGGGTTGTAGAAGCTTCCCCTTCACTCACGCCAGCAGGTTGCCACTTCCACGTCAGTCATGCGGCAGCGGTATCCCTCTTTGTGCAGCTCCACGACCTTCCAAGAATAATTCACCATACCCCAAACCCATACCCCCTTAACCTAGAGAAGGAGAATATAAGGGAGTCTAAGGGAGGATTTTAGGGGTACCTTAGCGTTCAATAAGGTACCGAAGAATCGGGAGGTCGAGGCATCCCCTTACTAAAACCCGGAAGGGCTGAAGGTGGGTTTAGGGTTTAGGGTTTAGGGCTTAGGGCTTAGGGCTTAGGGCTTAGGGCTTAGGGCTTAGGGCTTAGGGCTTAGGGCTTGGGGTTTAGCGCTAGGGCTAAGCCCTAAACGAGCAACCAAGCAGCTTGTGCATCCAGCATCTTCCAATCCGACAGCATGTTCTTCTCAAACTGCACCTGTCGTCCAGGAACCCCATGGAACAAAGAATGCAGAAGGAACGACCAGCTTCATAAGGACACAAACTTTCTTAAAACCAAAGTTTGCACCCTAATGACCCCTAAACCCTAAACCCTAAACCCGAAACCCGAAACCCTAAACCCTAGACAGCCTGCCATGGCCAAACGGCCCGTGCACGGCCGAGTTCAATGACCTGGCTCAGGATGTGGGCATCGAAGCCCTCAGTATCCTTGGCACATGCTCAGGGTTTCGGGTTTTAGGGTGTAGGGTTTAGGGTTTAGGGTTTAGAGATTAGGGTTTAGGGTTTAGGGTTTAGGGTTTAGGGTTAGGGTTTAGGGTTTAGGGTTTAGGGTTTAGGGTTTAGGGTTTAGGGTTTAGGGTTTAGGGTTTAGGGTTTAGGGCTTAAACCCTAAACCCTGAACCCGAAACCCTAGACCCTAAACCCTAAACTACCAGCAAGAAGTGGAAAGTCGATGATTGCAGCAGGCATCAATCTTCAGGATATCCAAAGCACCTTCGACCAGGGTTTAGGGTCTAGGGTCCAGGGTTTAAGCTTTAGGAGGGAGCAGAGCAGATACCCTAAACCCTAAACCTTAAACCCTAAACCCTAAACCCGAAACCCTAAACCAGGGGGGGGGGGGGGGGAGTGCGGCCAGGGCACCGATGCCATACACGGTGAGCAGGGTCTCATAGGTCATGCAGGGAACCTGCACCTGGACAGTTTGGGGTTTAGGGTTTAGGGTTTAGGGTTCAGGGTTTAGGGTTTAGGGTTTCGGGTTTAGGGTTTAGGGTTTAGGGTTTAGGGTTTAGGGTTTAGGGTTTAGGGCTAGTGCTCGAGATGAGTTTCGGGTCTTAGGGCTTGAGGGTGTCAGGGTTTAGGGTTTTTGGTGCTCTGAACCCAATAACGAAACCCTAAACCCTAAATCCTAAACTCTAAATCCCAAACCCTAAACCCTAAATCCTAAACCCTAAATCCTAAACCCTAAATCCTAAACACTAAACCCTGACACAGAACTTCAGGACCCTTTGCACCTTCCCGAGCACCGAAGCCGCCCGGTCGCCCAGCAGCTCCTGCACCCCTCGAGGCGGCTTCTTCAGGGACGAGGTGCCCCTGAGCCTTAGTTAGGGTTTAGGGTTTAGGGTTTAGGGTTTAGGGTTTAGGGTTTAGGGTTTAGGGTTTAGGGTTTAGGGTTTAGGGTTTAGGGTTTAGGGTTTGGGGTTTGGGGTTTAGGGTTTGGGGTTTAGGGTTTAGGGTTTAGGGTTCAGGGGTTAGGGTTTAGGGTTTAGGGTTTGGGGTTAAGGGTTTAGGGTTTAGGGTTTTGGGCTTCGGGTTTAGGGTTTAGGCCCCGCTGGTTGGGAAGCCACAAGCAAAAGTGGTGTTTTTTTGATTTTTTTTGCTGCCCTAGACGCTAAGCACTAGATCCTAAACTCCGTAAAAACCCTCAACAGGCCAAGTTCGGGAGTTTCTAGGGTCCCCCTTTGGGATGTTCCCCCTGATACCAGCAGTCCTTAGTGGGGATTCTAGTAGAGTGTACGATACTCCCTCTTCAGGACGCTGAATAGAAAGGGGAAACATCCCCAAGTCCCCCCTTACACCTTAAACCCTGAACCCTGAACCCTGAACCCTAAACCCTAAACCCTAAACCCTAAACCCTAAACCCTAAACCCTAAACCCTGAACCCTGAACCCTAAACCCTACTTGACGAAGTCGCCATCCGGGGAGGCAGCTGGCGAGGCCCAGCTTCTGCAGCGCGGCCTCCTCGCAGAGGCTCCCGGAGCCCCGGTGCGGCCCCACCAGCTGCGGCTGCACAAAGTACAGCGTCTCCTCGGCACTCGCGCTGTTCAAGCGCCCCCCCCCCCCCCCCCAAAAAAAAAAACACAAATAAAGCTACATGATCTATATATATATATAAAAACACACACACACACACACACACACACAAATAAAGCTACATGATCTATATATATATATATACATAGATATATATCTATATACATATATATAACAGAGAGAGAGAGAGATGTAACAAGAAGAGTGCTCCCCCCAAGAAGCACCATGACACACCCAGAATGGTTGCTCCTATTCTTTGGGGGTTCCGTAATCTGATCATGGCATCATAGCCGTCATAGTCGCTCAAGGCCACATTGAGCAAGAGCTTGCTTGCACCGCCGTGGGATGGCAGCTTATCGAAGTAGGGCCGGAATGGCTCCATGGAGATTCCGTGCACTTCGGGTTTCCAAACATGCCGAGACAGGAGCGTATCAAAGTCTGCCGTGCCGATTTCCAGATAATTGAGGTGGCGCTTGCGATACGCCCACGGAGACCACGGGTTGGGGATCGACGGCCCTGGCTCCGGCAGGTGAAGAGGCACAGAGGCAGCTGCATTCAATGAGGCAACGTAGTCAGGCAGGAGCTTGCGGTCAGCCCACAGCGCAGCGCGAACATGCAGAGAATTGAAGCCGGCAACTTCTACGATGCGCTTTGTCTCGTGGTCAATGGCCCACATGGGCTCCCACTCGGGCTGCCGCCCGAAATTGAGTGTGTTCACATTCCCCAAGTGTTGGCACTCATAGGGCTTTCGCCATCGGACCCATATCCGTAGACTCTTGGAGGGCAGCAGATGCCTGAGCCAGAACACGTGGGCCTCGTGAGGGGTCACCTTGCTGTTGGCGGCAATGGCCTGTGCCCATGGGTTCCCCGTGGCAAGGACGGTCCGGCGATCGACCACGTAGGCAGCCCCGCCCAGAAACGGCGCCGCGGCATAGGCCCCGAAGGCTGGAGCGCGAGAAAGCTGGTCGTCCAGCCAGGAGTTCACAAAGAGTGCCAAGAGGCCACCGCCCTCAGCTTGGCCTTTCCAGTGGTCAGCCATGTAGTCACCCAGAGCACGGGCGACCGTTCTCCGACCCATCAGGATGTCATCGTCGCAGTGCAGAAGGAAGTCAAGGTCGCTTCGGGCCAGGAAGGTCTCAAAAGCCACCGACAAGACCCGAACGGTCCCGAGATGTCGTGGCATCTTTGTGAAGTTCGTAATCTTCCCTCTTTGGACCAGGTCCTGGACCATGGCCTGCTTCTTCTTACCATCCGACTTGCTGGACGCATCATCGATCAGATGCCACTCTAGGACAAGGTTGGGAAGCTCCTGCCGCGCATGCTCCACCGACGCCAGCAATGAGAGCGTGGACAAGGCATGCCGCCAGAAGCGGTCGCGGGTGATCACGCTGATCATGGCCCTGGGTCCTGTGTTCTCTGGGCCGTCTTCTCCATCTGGCCGCAGCCCCGCTGAGATGAGGCCGAGCAGCAGCCACAAGGCAGGCATAGCCCCACGTTACGAGTGGCAACGCGGAATCTTGGCGTACAAGGTGGCTCGTGTGGCGCTTCCCTCTGAGGGCACCCATGGCCTGATGGAGGAGCCTAACTCCAACAATGTGAACTGAGCGCCAGGTTTGGGGGGTTTCGGGGTTTGGGGGGTTTCGAGGCTTCAGGGAGCAATGACACCCCTTGCAAACAAAAAAATAGGAACGATGATCAGTCGCACTCAGCATGATACTTCGCAACTCCCGTATTCTCCGATACAAGCAATAGCTTCAAAGGCTTCAAATGGCTAAGCGGCCAGTGCAGATTGCGACTCAGCCCTGAAAGTTCCCTTTCGGTTCCTCACCTCCGTCTGGCAGCAGGCAGCCTCCTGCCCGTGACACTGGGGTGATGATTGAGGGGTTTTCGGATTCGCCTCTAAGAAGAAAGACACCAGAAGACACCCTGTTGCATCAACGACATCACACAAGGGGTGTTAAGTTGCGCCATGGGACGAAGCGTCTGCACCATCTGAGGCGGCTGAGGGAAGTCCTTCCACGAAGCTTGCGGCTTAAGCGAAGGAATTGGTACTTCGAGTTCAAGCCCGCAATCAGGGAAGATGCTCAACTCGCATGCGATCTTAAGGGCTTAGGATCTTCTCTGGCAAAGCTCGCGTCCTCCCGCTGCCTGTCAGAGAGGGGGCCACTGGCACATCCAAGGCAAGAACATAAGCAGAACTGCTCGCACGTTCAACCTGCCTGTCTGCCTCACCCACAGGAGCTCGCCGAATTGTCCTCCGATGGGGCTGAGGCCAGCAAGGCCCCTGTTGATCCAAAGTTTGGTCTGATATCGCTGCTTGGCGCAAGTTGGCGCAAGGCAATCATGGAGCACCGGTTTCTCTCGCTGCACAAGCGCCCTGGGTGTGTATGAGTCTTTTGACAAACGGAGAGGGAGAGGGAGGGGGAGGGGGAGAGGGAGGGAGAGAGAGAGAGAGAGACAGAGCGAGAGAGAGAGAGAGAGACGTTTAAAAAAAAAAGATAAAGAGAACATTGGCTAATCCCCCCTCCGCCCTGGCATCAGATCCGGCGTATCTTCTCCCAGCGATCCCAACCTCAACACATGCCAGGGACAGAGAGAGACTTATGAGGCTTCGGATTTGGGGTGTGTGGTGTGTGGCCAGCACTCTAAGAGACGGGCTGCGAGCACTGGCTCTTTTCTGCAGCTTGATGGAAAGCTTGTCCCTTCGCACTTTCCAGGTGGACTGCCTGGGGTCACAGCACCCACACATGGGCCCTCGTCGTGCTCACTTCCCGCTTGCTCGCAGAAATCTGGGCAGAAGCTGTGGTCTGCGCTGTGGGTCTATCTGCCCCCAAAGCTCTTGGGCCACGTAGCACCTGCCACGCGGCAGACTGCGGCGTGAGAAACCCCAAAAAGCTTGCTGGGCTGCTTCAATCCCCTGCCACAGGATGCTTGCACATTTTTCTTGTATGGGGCGATGTTATGACTATACTCATCTTGGTAACTTACAAACAGAGTCACCCTGTCGGCTTGCCTTACACTCCGAACCTAAAACGTGCCGCCCTGGCCAGTTTGCGCCCCGCAGCTCGACGACACGAACCTGCGAAGCGGACTCTTCAGTGGGAGCCTCAACTCATAAGGATCCGGCATCCCAGGGCCGGGCCCCTACAACCTATGCCATAACAGCATCCTAAGACCCTGAATTATCCTAAGCCCTAAACCCTAAACTATCCCACCCTAAACCCGGAACCCGGAACCCTAAACCCCAAACCCCAAACCCGGAACCCGGAACCCCAAACCCGGAACCCTAAACCCTGAGTCTTGCAAGGCGCATCGGCCTCCAGCGTGGTCGCCGTCAGCCAAACGCACACCTTGTTGGCAGCGATCTCGTGGAGGCCGGGCCTTCTTGGACTTACGGTTTTTTGGGGTTTAGGGTTTAGGGTTTAGGGTTCAGGGTTTAGGGGGTTCAGGGTTGAAGGTGGCGAGTTTTAGGATTTAGGATCTCAAGTTTTCAGCTCGACGGCACATTCAGCAAGGTTCCTGTTGTCCTGCGGCGCGTATCTCGAAAAAAGGACCAAGGACCATGGGGCAAGGGAACAGACCAAGTGAACGTCGTGGGCCGAGGTCCACGCAAAGACATGTAAACAGAGACGACATTCTTGTCTTCTTCGTCGACAAACGAAATGTCTTTGATCTCCATCCAGTTGTCGATGGTGTTCACCCAGTCCCTCTGCTCCTCCCATTCCGCGAGTCGTGAATCATGAACTGTGGCCGAAACTAAACCCTGCAGATGTCAGACTTGTACATGCGCAGGGAAGAGCTCCTTGAAAGACTGCGCAAGCCTTCCCTCGTTCAGGTCTAGCTTTTCGCTGTACCTCGAAATCACCCAAAACTGCCCCAACCCACCCCCCACCACCCCCCAATCATAAGGAGCTGGTAAGTATCGTTATCATGCAATGGTGCGCATGTTGGCGGATATGAAACATTGGGGCCGGGGGGAGTAAAGCAGCCCAACTCAGCTTCACATCAGCTGGGGAATCTGAGGGCTCCACAATCCTCCGTCTTTTCCCAAGGCGCTTGTAGCCCCGGAAGCAACGGCCATCTCCGATTCGGGAATCGGAGCCTCCTCCGCTTGCTGCTTGGCCTCCATGTCACACGCAAAAAGCTGAACAAAAATTCAAGTGGCATACTATAGGGGCCTTAATCATTAGACTAGGGTTTTGGGGGCTCTTATAGTAAAAAGGAACCATAGTGGATTTCTGTGGTACTTATTCCGACCCCGCTATGTTACCCTGAACATCCCGAAGCCCTAAGCGTTTACTTTCATCGTCGGGCCGAGCTCTGGCCTCCGACAGCTTCTGGCGAACCTCCGCGTTCTGAGGCTCAAGCCTGGCGGGGCGGGGGGGGGGGGGGGGGGGAAGGGGAGGAAGGGGGGGAAGGGGGAGGGAGCGAGGAGGGGGCGGGAAGGGTGGGAGGGGGGAGGGGGAGCGGTTTCTACACGAAGCGTCGTACTCAAGAGACGACCATCGACGGCCTGAAAATGTAGCAAGACAAGCCCCAGAAATCAGCGGACAACATCCACAAATCGGACCGAAACCGTTCCCTCATGGCAAAGAAGAGCATGCGTGGGGTACGCATACCCACAAATGGACATACACTACGTGGCTCTTTACCAGCTAGGGTTTAGACCTTGGGAACCTGAAACCCTAAACCCTAAGCTTTGTAGGTTTACGTGTTTTACAGCTAAGGGTGCGGGGTGTTTAGGGTTTAGGGTTTAGGGTTCGAACTCCGCCCGCCTTAGAGCTTTCTGCAAGTCCTCGGCTGCTTCACAAAGCTTGCCAACATTCCCTGGGCTGCTGCCCAGGTACTCACAACAAGCAACTATACGCAGGAAACCATGTTTACAACGACTTCCATACTATGGTAGCAGAACTGAAACTTCAGTTCCAAAACCCTAAACTTGAAGGGGACAGTGCTCATTTGCAGCTTCCGCGCCTCCACGGCACCGCGAGGGTCACCCAGATTTAGGCGCGACAAGCCTCGCCGGTAGACCTGGAAACAGGTAACCCTTCCACATTGACCCTTTAAGGGATTAGGGTTTAGGCTTTAGGGTTTAGGGCCCAGGGATTGTGTAGAGACCTAGATTCCCTGCTTAAAGGGACTAAATGGGACACCTAAGCTCCCTACTTAAGGGACCTAGATGGGATACCTAAGCTCCCTACGAAGAGCCCTAAACCCTAAACCCTAAACCCTAAACCCTAAACCCTAAACCCTAAACCCTAAACCCTAAACCCTAAACCCTAAACCCTAAACCTAAACCCTAAACCCTAAACCCTAAACCCTAAACCTTCATGCCGGAGACTTCCGCAAGCAAAGTGCCGCGCCGCTTTGCTGTTCGACGCATCTGCAGCCAAGGCTGCTGAAGCGCTCTCCTGCGAACAAAGGGTTTGGTGTGTAGGGTTTAGGGTTTAGGGGTTTAGGGTTTAGGGTTTAGGGTGTAGGGTGTAGGGTTTAGGGTTCAGGAGTCTGGGGCCTAGGTCGGATTTGTGGCCGTTGATCCCAAGGGTGGTCTCTTTTGAGGCTTCTATCGCCATGCGTGTATCTAGGGGGGCCAAACATAAACGAGAAATGACAGAGAACCGCACCCCGAAAATCCAAAGCCTTTACACCCTAAATGCTAAGACAACTACCCTAACCCCAAACCCTAAACCCCCAAACCCCAAACCCTAAACCCCTAAACCCTAAACCCTAAACCCCAAACCTTAAACCCTAAACCCTGTAACTCAAACAAGGCTGTACCAAGATGAGGCTCACTCCTCAGCTTCCTGGAACCGCGACAGCTTCAAGTAGCAGAGGGCCTCGAAACTCCGAGGCAAGGTCAAAGTGCTACGACTACACAAGATGTGGGGAAGAAATGGGGTTTAGGGTTTAGGGTTCAGGGTTTAGGGTTTAGGGTGTAGGGTCCGCCGACCCTGGCGGCGTGTTGGGTGGGAAAAGGAGGTGAAAACCTCCCCCAAAACGCGGGGGTGGGGGGGGTAGGGGGGGGTACCCGGGCAGCTTTTCCATGGAGGGCCAGGCCACCCACACCGCATAAACTCACGGACCATAGGCGGTTTGGCACAGGACATAGGGGTCCTTTGGGAAAAAACCCCCAACCCTCTTGACTGCCCCCCCCCCCCCCCCCCCCCCCCCCCCCCCCCCCCCCACCCCCACCCACCCCCCCCCCCCCCCAACGTTTCACAGAGGCTCAAGCAAATCAACTTTTGGCATCCTTTGAGCTGACGAGCGCGTTTAAACCTTTCAACTATGCTCCAGCGGGGTCGGCGGCTTGAGCCGGAGGCTCTTAAATTTAGGGTTTAGGGGTTTAGGGTTTAGGGGTTTAGGGTTTAGGGTTTAGGGTTTTTGGGTAGGGTTTAGGGTTTGGGGTTTAGGTTTAGGTTTCCCCCACATAAGTAAGTCAGTTCCCCCCCCCCCCCCACATCTAGTAGCAGCCCAGAATAGCACGAAACCCTAAACACCCACCCTAGAAACCCTGACAACCCTGAGCATCCCAAAAAGCCCTAAACACAGAACAACTGCAAACCCGAATCACCCTAAACCCTAACCCTAAACCCTAAACCCTAAACCCTAAACCCCCTGAAAACCCTAAAAAAAACGCACCTGGTTGGATGACAAGGTCGATTGCAGGGTCAGATCGGCCAGCCCCGACCTGCGCCAAGCAGCGCCCCTCCGGACCGGCTTCAATCCTACTGAGCACGGTAGAGTTCTTCACATTTTGGGGGTTTAGGGTTTAGGGCTTCGGGCTTAGGGCTCAGGGCTTACGGCTTGGGGCTTGGGGCTTCGGGCTGAGGGTTTAGGGTTTAGGGTTTAGGGTTTCACTCTTGCACCTGCTTTCGTAGCAGCCCCCTCTTTAAAGTCAAGTTTGCCCGGCTATGCAGGACACTGTGAATGTGTGGGGGTCGAGAACCGGGACCATCTTTAAAGTCAACTCGTCGCCGCAATCCAGGCTTGTTCAGAATCTAGGGTATGTGGGTAAGCCCCAAATAAACCCTAAACCCCTCAGCCCTAAACCCCCAACCCCTGAACCCTGCATGTTTTGAAGCCAACCTCACGCCGCAGCCCTGGCCTCCAACCGAGCAGAAACCAAGAGTTTTTCGTTCAAAAAACTACATAAAAACATGTCTAGGTCATTACGGCCAGGGACTGGTCCAGGAGCCGCCCCAGCCGGCTTTAATGGGCACTGTTTCGGGAACCTCTTTCATGTGCTGGCCTTGGGCCCGGGGCTCTGGATTTGGACCTGGCCTCTTGGGTTAAGGGGCAGTCCCTTGACACTTGAAGCCTCTTTGTTTCATGGGTTGAAGGCTTAGCTCTTGAAAAATCTCAAGGCTTAAGATGTAGACTCATCCCCTTGAAACTATACTGACCCCGTTTGAACTCATATGAACTCATCCCTTTCAAGTTCATATAAACTCATTCGTGATAAAACCAGTCGGATCCCTTTGAAATTCATATAAAGTCATCGATTTGTTCAAATTCATATACACTCACCCCATGTAAAATCATATGGATCCCTTTCTAAATCATACAAACTCACCCTAGGAAAAGCACGTAAACTCATATATATGAACTCATCCCTTTGAAAATCATGTGGACCCCGTTTCAATTCATGAACTCCTCCCGATTAAGACCCCCCCAAAAAGGGGACCGTTTAAACAGGCACACAGGTGCACCCATGCGGTTTCGGGCTTAGGGCCCTAAACCCTAAACCCTAGACCCTGAACCCTAAACCCTAAACCCTAAACCCTTAGCAGATACGCCATACTTCCCTCAACAACCCGCAGCCTCTCGAGATTCTGCAGTGCAGAGGCGTAGCAAGCGAGGGCTTCCTTTAGGGTTTAGGGTTTGGGGTTTAGGGTTTAGGGTTTGGGGTTTGGGGTTTAGGGTTTAGGGTTGAGGGTTTAGGGTTTGGGGTTTGGGGTTTAGGGTGTTGGGTGTAGGATGTAGGGTGTAGGGTGTAGGGTGTAGGGTGTTCGTTTCTGCGGTCGGGAAGGCAGGAGTCGCAGCCCTAAACTGAAATAGTAAACCCTAAGCGCCTAAATGCTGGTTGGCTTTTTTTCATGCTCCATCCCAAAACCCTAAACCCTAAACCCTAAACCCTAAACCCTAAACCCTAACCCTACATCAAAGCCCAGGCCAGGGCTGTGCTCAGCTGAGGATGAAACAAGAATGACAACCACCAGAAAGCTTTAAGAGAAGAGAATGAAAAAACAGCAACAAGTACTAAACGCTCTACTCAAGATGGAGACAAACATTTTCCAGTGGCGATTTCAATGCAGAAGCTGCAGGTGTAGTCAGAGCGGAGCAGCAGCATCACAAGCTGTTCTGGGTTTAGGATTTAGGGGAAGCCCTAAAGCCTAAACCCTCAAACCCTAAACGTTCTGGGTTTAGGATTTAGGGGTCCTGGGGGGAGGGCAGAACGGAACTTGTTCGTCTCGGGTACTCGCTATGCATGCCACTCCTTTTGACAGACATCCCTACGTTTTAGGCCTGACATGTATCTAATGGAGATCACGCAGCATCTGCAATGCGATGTTGTTTGAAAAGGCACGATGAATCAACGCATAGGGGGGGGAGCTACTTCCAGCGCTTCTTTTCTCATCCGAGGCACATCTACCATGACACTTTTTTGTTGGTCAACGTGGGACCGGGATGCCCTTCTCTACAACCTACTTCCGCATGTGCTTCTGTGACCCAGCGACCCACAAACAAGGATGTTTAGGGTTTAGGGTTTAGGGTTTTAGGGTTTAGGGTTTAGGGTTTAGGATTTAGTGTTTAGGGTTTAGGGTTTAGGGTTTATACCAAGGCGGAGGAGCGGGCAGCGCCTAGATAGCAACACTTGGAGGCTCAGGGTACTTACAAATCAACCCTAAACCCTAAACCCTAAACCCTAAACCCTAAACCCTAAACCATAACTGCTCTTATAACCCGCTTATAGGCCCCCTTAAGTGCCCTAAGAGGGTTCTAAGCTCTTCATTGGTCAATAAGTACCGTTAGAAGCCCCTTAAGTGCCCTAAGATGGTTATAAGTACAGTAAGTACGGCTATAATTGGTTAATAAGTACCATGAACCTCCAAGCAGGACGTTGTGCCCCGGCCCGCCTCCAAGTTCCCACTGCGGAAGTGTCTGCCTCCCTCCGCCTGGCAAACAGTTATCATCTGGGTCTGAAGTGGAGGGCTTAGCATACTTCCTACATCCGCGCAAGCCCATGTGTGAGCTCAGCATGGTAGTTTGGGCGACACTTGCTTCAGATTTGGACTGTTTTCCTCCTATCAGCCCGACACTCTGTGAAAAAAAATTGGGTCCACTGCGTTGTTCCTTCTGACACGGACTGGAAAGCCAGGAAGTACTGCTTTTGTCATGTTTCTATTGTTGGGGCTGTCAAATTCTTGCCATTCCATCCGTCGTTGTTTTGGTCATATCTGGGCTTCCCCACGAAGCCCACCCCAGCGAACCGTTTGACCAAAAACACACCACCAAGCGACAATCAGACAGAAGAAGAAGAAGAAAAGGTGCTGTTTTGTCCTCCTGCTAAAATAGTTCACTTCGTATCTTGTTTTCAACCTTGCAAAATTTGAGGCATCTGACTGTTGACCTCGTTTGTCGTATCTTTAATCCTGTATCTGATTTCACATTGGACGTCGTATAGAGCATAAGCCAAAGAAGCCTGGGCAGCGGCACGGGTTACGGTAACACTTAACGGGAAACAGCAAACTGGAGTCGGCACCACCAGACACTCACTTACTGAGAGCCAGAAGCAGGAAAAAATGTCACTTGAAAGCATTGGGGCGTAGCCGAACACCATAGCGCCCCATGAACACCGCGAACAGCGCGAACCACGAACACCGCGTACACCGACACCGCGAAAAGCGCTAGAAGAGACGCTTTGGGATCCAGTGGTAGGTGTGCTCAGACGTCCGCAACTTACGGTAAGTGTGATCAAACGTCCGATACTAAGCCGAGAGGTTGACCAACGGTACGAGTACGGAGGTCATTCTAGACGATGGCTTAGAGTTTGGCATGAACAATTGGGGTGTGTCTGGCTCTCTATTGCCGCCCCTGTCGCCAGAATAAGAACTGAAAAAGATCGTGCAATTTTAAAAGAAAGTCTCTTTCTCTTTTGAGCACACAATGAAGACCTGATGCCCACACGTCCACTTTCAACACTCAAGCTGCCGTTGTTAGCAGCCGTCAGCACCGACACTTTTGCTACCTGTCTACGGAAAGCAACAGATCGAGTGACCCTGAAGCCTAACTCCTCATGTGGGAACCCGCCATGAACTCAATCCCTAAACCCCCAAAGCCCTAAACCCTTAACCCAACCCTTCAACCCCCGAACCCTCAACCCTAAACCCCTGCAACACCCGACAAACTGTAGGCCTTAAGTTGCTCGACCGTTTGCCGGGGATCAGGTCCTGAGCTTTCGGGCATTCTGGTGGTGCATGGGGGGGCCTTCTAGGGGAACTAGGGGCTGTTGGGGGTTTGTTTAGGGGCTTTTGGGGGTTTGTTTAGGGGCTTTGGGGGGGTTGTGTAGGGTTGTTTAGGGGGTTAAGAGGGCTTAGGCGCTTTTCGGGGTTCAAAGCTGGTGAGGGAAAACGAGTCGAAAACGGGATGGACCGAGTCCGAAAACGACAAAGACCGAGTCAGGAAACGGGCTGGCGAGAGTCAGCAAACGGCACAGAAACGACGGGAAAACAAGAATACGGTCAAAATGCCCTAGACCATTCAGCCTTAAACCCCTGAAACCTAAGACCCTGGGGCCCACAGGTCCCCCTTCACCCCTGGCCATTTGCCTTGAACACCTAGAAACCCCTTCCAAACGAGCCTTGTGGTGCAAAATTTTAAAAACCCCTGTTATTGAAAGGAACATCAACCCATGACGAGGACTTGTGTGTTGCAATGGAGAGAACTTGCGGTAAACAAATGCGAATCCTTACCAAACCCGTCATGTGAGCATGGTGCTTGCAAATGGAAGGGGGGGGGAGGGGGGGGAACCCCCGCTTGTTGTTCATTTTTCCCCGTGCAAGCTTGAGAAAATAGAGGCTTCCCTATGAAAACATTGGAGAACATCGTGGTTGTCTTTCTGGGTTTAAGGGGTATGGGTTTGGGGTAACAAAATTATGGTTTTTGGATTAGACGGGAGGAGGGCGTTTTCTGTTGCAGGGGGGGGGGGGGGTCTTGCTGGTTGTCGATTCGGGGGGTCAAAGCGTTTTCGACTCAGGGCTTCTCCGTTTTCGACTCAGGTGGCGTGACTCATAGGGCACTCTTGCTGACTGACCCTCACTCGGGTGTAGAGGTTCAGGAGTTCAGGGTTTACGGTATAGGCATCCTGAAGTAGATAGAATTGTTGAAATCCCAACCAAAAAGACAACACCGTCTAAGGATGACTATAGGGTGTGGCCGGACATCATTGACCACCTGCAGATGGTTACATGGAGCGGCTCCTTCGCCTGGCCCACATGCCTCCGGCCGAATGTACCAGGAGCTGGGTTTTTCCGGGTTTCGGGTCTTCGGGGTTTGTAGGGTTCGGGCTCTTGCTATTCGTACCAGCTTTTCTGAGTATCAACCGGGGCACCTTCACGTGTGATTCAGCCTCGTCAATTTTTTTGCCGCAGGTTGCTGACTTCCCTCCTGGTCGCATAACTCACGTTACCAGAGCAACCCTGTATGTAGTAAGTTGCCAGGAACAATAAGTAAGTACATCATGTCCCCCCTTTTGAGGGTGCTTCATCCATTCTCCAAGTTGTGATTTTTGCGTTGCACATGGCTATGCTAAGGAAGACAACTGACCACAAAGGGGCTGCTCTAAGAAGGTGAAGAACAGAAGCTGCGCTCAAACGGGAGGCCTCCGTGGCACCCGGCTCATGGCTCATGGGCTCATGGGCTGTCTAAAGGTTAGAGAGCAACCCAGGACACCCCCCCAATATATCGCTGAAAGAAGTGGCTGAAAGAAGTGAACTTTTCCGAAGCTACTGGGGGTGACCCTACGGCAGGTCTAGGAGGGCTAGAGCTGCCAAGCGCATGTTGGGGCATAGCCCGGATGGCGGTGGTATGCCTTGATGGCTCAAGCAAGCGGCTTACGCAAGCAGGCGCAACATTCAGCATGCACAAACAAAGCTACCCCTGTCGGTCGCTGGCAAGAAGCACAAGTGTGGGTTCATGAAATTAGGGGTACCTTATTAGGGTCTTTATTAAAAGGGGAGCCTACTATTTGGGGGTCTATATGAGGGTTCCCTTATTTGCGTAAACCACCTAGTGGATCGAGTCTCACTGATGCTCCAGACATCTCCAGAAACTCAAAGTTGATGAGCTCCTCAGCTCCATCGGCAAGGACTGGCAGTCGTCCTGAAGCCATCACGCGTGCTGCGGCCCTCCTACACCCTAAACCCTGAAACCTAAACCCTAAACCCTAAACCCTATACCCTAAACCCTAAACCCTAAACCCTCACCCCCAAACCCGAATGCCCTAAACCCCAATACCCTCCCGCAGCGTGCCCCTCCTCTGCTGGAAACGTTGCTGCAAAGGGATTCCGCAAGGTCTGCCCTGCCTGGAGCTTAGGGTTTAGGGTTTAGGGCTACGGTAGGGTTTCGGGTATGGGGCATTAGATTGAGGGTCTGGGGTTTGGGGTTTGGGGTTTAGGGTTTAGGGTTGATGGTTCAGGGTTTAGATGGTTTAGGCCGGTTTAGGGTTCCTCTGACTCATCTGGACGCGACCTGCCTCCGGAAGAGGCGCGTGTCGTCCTGGGCAAATCTCTGAATCGCGGGTCCCTTTTCGGGTAGCTTCGATGACCAAAGGGTGAGCATGGATGACAGTCCCAACCCCAAACACCGAAACTTAGAGAACTGCCCTCTGCTTCGTGCACGGGCTGGGCTGGGCCCCATGTCCTGAAGACAGCTCGCGGGACTCGCCAACACGGCGTGATTCCTGGAAAGGCAGGGCTCAATGAGCTTAGTGTTTAGAGCACAAAGCGGAAACGGACTTCGTCGTCGGCAGAGATTTCGCACGCTAACATTCACCGATCGCGTTCCTTTGGGCTTCCAACTAAAGCCCGGGCCGCAAAGCAGCCTGTTGTCCACGGCATGAAAGCGCCGAGGACGAGCTCTGATACGTGCCGCGCAGAGAGCAACTACCTTGTGGTGTCCAGGATTTGTGGCTCCGGGCTTAGCATGTAAGGTTCTCGGAGATGCTCAAAACAAGGATCTCCTGGCTCACCCACAGGGTAGCCGGGTAGCTACTGGAAGCCCTGCAGCAGCCAAACGTGCAAAGGGGATGTTCCTGGAAGGCCGCCTCTCTTGGAGAGGTGTGCGCCACTCGGGGTTCGACTGCGGCGCTGTTCCATGAACAAAGGGTTCAACGCAAATTCTAAACTGAGGCTCCGCCTGTGACGTCGCAGTGCAAAGCACCAGGGCTTAGGGTTCAGGGTTCGGGGTTCAGGGTTTGGGGTTGAGGGTTTAGGGCTACAAGCTATGACAAGCTATGCAAACTTCCCTCGCATTGCTCCGTCTGTGAGGCGACAAGCTGGGGGATCAAAGGGCGTGGATCACTCAGGCTGGCCTCGGCATATGAGCTCCGATGTGTCAGTGGGTGCCCCCTAAACCCTAAACCCTAAACCCCAAAATTGTAAGAATAATTTTCAAACTAAGATATTTTTACGATGATTATAATCATTAGTCATTTTGGACTTATTTAACGGCTATCTATCGTAGCTGTAGGCAGAGCAGCTGCTGGGCAGAGCTTGGGCGCCAACACGGCCTGCACAGCCAGCGCCCGACCCGGGGACGCCGCACGCCTCGAAAGAGCAAAGCCCTACGGCAAAAATAAGCTTTGCTTCCTTCTACTAACTACTCAGTACTACATGCACATCAGCAACTTTCAGTAAGTGACGAATTACGAATTTCGAGCCACGACATACTTGTTGCTAAGACATGAATCCGCGCGGGTACGCGGGGCTCGGGCCTCGCTCGAAGAAGGGCATACTGCCTCACAGACATGGCAAATGTTGGCCCTAAGACCCTCAACCCTCAACCCTCAACCCCAAACCCTAAACCCTCAACCCTCAACCCTAAACCCTAAACCCTAAACCCCAAACCCCAGCAAGGAGACCCCCCCCCCCTCGGCCTGTCGAGCTCTGTGTAGAGACGATCATCCAACTGCACCGCTGTACAACTCTGCTGCCTCGGACGTGAACCCGCGACTTGGAGCCGCCGCTTCATGCTACTTAGCGTATTTTGGGGTTTAGGGTTTAGGGTTTAGGGTTTAGGGTTTAGGGTTTAGGGTTTAGGGTTTAGGGTTTAGGGTTTAGGGTTTAGGGTTTAGGGTTCAGGGCTAGTGCTAGCTGCCTGCACCACTTCAGGACCTTCGCATTGACGGCATGCTCTTCGTAGCCCATCTCCAGGAGCTGCCTAAGCAAGACTCGTCGTGAGCTACACGCTTTCCACGCTTTGCAGTGCGAAACTTGATTCATTAACAGTATATAAAAAAGAATCTAGAAGTCATAATATACAATAAGTAAATATAAATTTAACGGAGTGGTGAGGCTCAAGCCGCAGCACCTGGTTGTCGGGTGGACCTGGCAAACTTGACCCAGCCGACCGACTTGCGGCCATGCGAGCAGACACCGAAAAGCCTGGCGCAGCGTAGCCCCGCCTGGGTGGGGCTGAGGACTCCGAAAACTCTACCGCAATCTGCTTTTACGGCTTTGGCTCGGCCCCTGGCGCATCTGAGTTGGCATCCTGAGGCGAATCTAGGGGACAGGATTAGGAGGACCCTTGAGATACCCTTTGAATAAGGTCAAGAAGGGTTCCCTTTTAAGGGTCCCCCATTCCCACCTAGGAGAAACATGCCACAGAACTGCCTCCTGCTTTGCTCGGAATGGCGCCGGGCCTTCCCACCGAACCAGTTGTGGCCCACGCTGCTCAAGGTGCCTGCAGCCAAAACTGCAGGTTTGGGGTTTACGGTTTATGGATGCTTAGGGATGCTTAGGGTTTAGGGTTTAAGGTTTGGGTTTCGAGTTTAGGGTTCCACGGTGTGGTTGAGGGCTCCACTCCCCATCAGTAATCATGCAAGGTGCTAATCGCTTCCGCGGCAGTGGCCCGGATCGCGTCCGTCACATTGCGGAGGATGTCCTGGTTTTGAACCTGGTTTAGGGTTTAGGGTTTAGGATTTAGGGTTTAGGGTTTAGGGTTTAGGGTTTAGGGTTTAGGGTTTAGGGTTTAGGGTTTAGGGTTTAGGGTTTAGGGTTTAGGGTTTAGGGTTTAGGGTTTAGGGTTTAGGGTTTAGGGTTTAGGGTTTAGGGTTTAGGGTTTATGTTTTAGGGTTTAGGGTTTAGGGTTTAGGGTTTAGGGTTTAGGGTTTAGGGTTTAGGGTTTAGGGTTTAGGGTTTAGGGTTTAGGGTTTAGGGTTTAGGGTTTAGGGTTTAGGGTACCTTCAGCCAGATCAGCCAGGTGAAACTCCAGCACCCAGGCACCGCTGCCGCAGAAGCCCGTCGGTCTCATTTGTTGCTACCCTGAACCTTAAACCCAAAACCCCAAACCCCAAACCCAGAACCCCAAACCCCAACCCCTAAACCCTAAACCCTGAACCCTAAACCCTAAACCCTAAACCGACACAGGAACCGCACCTTGGGATCAGAGTTCTCCGGCTCCGGGACCTCAGCAGCATGCACCATGAGCAGCTCCGGCTACAGCTAAAAGACCCTTCACCACCCTAAGTCTAGGAGGTTTAGGGTTTAGGGTTTAGGGTTTAGGGCTTAGGGTTTAGGGTTTAGGGTTTACTGTAGGGTTTAGGGTTTAGGGTTTAGGGTTTAGGGTTTAGGGTTTAGGGTTTAGGGTTTAGGGCTTTTGGTTTTCGAAAGCACCTGGACCATGTTCCCGGCCACTTCCGGGGTTGGCTCCTCGGGCATTCCCGCACAGGCTTGCCTGCGAGGGCCAGCTGCGTTCCCAAAGAGCTGGGTTTAGGGTTTAGGGTTTAGGGTTTAGGGTTTAGGGTTTAGGGTTTAGGGTTTAGGGTTTAGGGTTTAGGGTTTAGGGTTTAGGGTGTTGGGTTTAGGGTTTAGGGTTTAGGGTTTAGGGTAGTTTGGGGTTTGGGGTTTGGGGTTTGTAGAAATTGTATAGGGTTTGTGTCCGGAGTTTTTGTCGGGCTCTGTCGGATTTTGGGCAGGTTTTGCCGGGTTTGGGTTTTTGCTCTTGCTGAGATTTTGCCATCTTCGCTTTGGGTGGTTTTGGAATTGTATGGGGTTTGGGGTTCGTGCGGGGTTTTGGGCTGTGTCGGGCCGGGTTTTGAAGACTGAAATCTGGCCAACTTCATTTGGGAGGTTCTGTCGACTTTTGCCCTATTCCGGGTCTGTTTTAGTGCCCGGTGAAGGATGAAGGATGATTGCACGAGGTGCTCGTCATGAAACGCGTACAATTTCCATTTATCCTGGCCTTGAGGGTTTAGGGTTTAGGGTTTAGGGTTTAGGGTTTAGGGTTTCTAAAGTTTCGGGTTTAGGGTCTAGGGTTTAGGGCTTAGGGTTCCGGGCTTCGGGCTAAGGGGTTTAGGTTTCAGGGGCCCCGAAAATAAAGGCATACATGCCCTAAACCGTAAACAGGGCCCCTTCTTCGTTTAAGGTATCCTTCACTAAGGGTACTGGGCACTCTGACTACGAGTCTTACTCGCTCATACTTGAAGATACCATCTAAGTTGTAGTTGCAAGCTGCCCTGCCTCCGCAGGTAACTCACAAAGGAGTGCCAGTCCATTCGCTCTCCACCTGTCTCTGACCTCGGCTGTAACGCCTGGTGTGCACTTCAAGGCTCACGGGTAGCTATTACACGTGGGAGTATATGAAGAGGGTAGCTAGAGGTGTAGCGGTGTAGCTGCTTGTCACTCTGCTGGGGGCCTTCCCGTGCCTGCACTCAAGAAAACGATATAGATATATGATCACATGGTCCCTTCTCGAAAATATGGTCCCTTTTGGGGTGCTTATTATCAGGAGGACCATAATTTAGAGAACGGACCATATGACAGACCGTGGACCATCACCAGGGCTCGAACGCTCTGCCAGTGATTTGGATGAAGATTGCTTGAGCTGCCTGCAGGGTCCCGACGCATGCACTTAGTCAAAAAGGCTGCTCTGAGCCCTAAACCCTAAACCCTAAACCCTAAACCCTAAACCCTAAACCGGTGCAGCGCGTGGCCTCCTTGGCATTCCGGTGGGCCTCCACAAGTTCGCGGGCAGTCAAAACTGCCGGCTCTTCTGAGTTACTTAGAGCGGGACATCAGGAAGCAAAACCCTGTAAAGCGACGGGACCACCTAAAAAGCCGCACCTGAGAACTAAGTGCTTTTTGATTCGATTTCAGAGCGACACCCAAAACGACACCCAAGCGGCGTCACTTTTGGAGCCCAAAGTGCCTCGGAAAGGTCCCTGGCCTATCCCCTGGCTCATGGCTCTAAAACCAACATCTCATGCTCTTGCATGGGTTCTCGGGATTGCACGGTCTGCATGCTTCGAAGACTCCATCACTAGTAACATGCATGGCAACAAACCTTTGTAGACGGGACCACCTGAAAAGCGAGACCCCCTGAATCCCGAGGTGGCACTGCATGCTCGGGTAGTGCACGCGCTCGCACAGACACCTTTGACTTCCATCGCATTGAGCCGTTCCATCAAGACAAAGCAAGCGCCCGACAGCTCATTCCGATGAGGTGCTCCTGAAGCGCCCTAAAGCCGTTGACGTCACGGCTCTGGTATCACTGGGGTTTAGGGTTTAGGGTTCAGGGTTCAGGGTTCAGGGTTTAGGGCCTAGGGTTTATGGTTTAAGGGATTTGTCATGCTCACTGCAACGTGGACAGCTTTCGTATCACAGCTCCAGCTGCCTGCCAGTCACCCCACCTCCGCGCCCAGCGCGCCAGTTCGCCCACAACTTCGGCGAACACGTTGGCTGAAGCTGGGCCCTCGATCATGCTGCCGTGGCAGAGGAAGATGCGCTGAATGGACCATGTGGCAGCTAGGCTAACCGATGTCTCCAGAGCCTTTGCATCCTGCGTGTAGATCCAGAATTCCGGCGATGGCATGGGCCGCCCTTGAAGCCGGCATGCGCGGGCGAGAGGGCCTCCGCAGCATCCGGGGGTGGTGGCCGGTCGCAGGTTCTCGACAAAGTCCCCGACCAAAAGTGTCCCTGAGTGGGGGTGATACAGGAGGGCCTCCTCGAAGAAGCAGTTGCCTGCAGTTACGAGGACCTCAAGCTCCTGGCCCCAGCCCCCTACGGCCGCCCAGAAGTCCATGCCAGATTTCAGCACCACCTGGACAGAAAGCTGCGGCTGCCGTTCCTGCAGGCCTGGAGGGGCACACAACAACGCGTTGGGATACGCAGTGCAGTATGCCTGGAGGGTCTGGTTGTGGATTTTGTTCGGCGACACGAGCAACGCCACAGTTCCCAGCGTCTCCAGGTCAGCCGCCACTGCATCGGTTAGAGGCGTCGGAGAGTATAGACACAGTCGCCGGCCCTCAAGACAGATCACAGCCATGCGCGTTTGCAGGGCAAAGCCGTAAAACTGGATGACTGCCTCATGTGTGTAGATCTTCGGGGCGAGCGGCTTTAGAGCTCGAAGCTCTTGGCTCATGGCCATCGGATTCTTGAACACCCTTCATACAGCTGCAGCAGCCCCTGCAAGTCAGCACACGCTAATTGCAGCATACGCTAATGGACACAAGGAAGGCAGCGCAGGCTCCACCTCGGGGAGAAGTGACCGGACGTCCTCCATGGAAAGAAGCCCATCACTGTCCTGGTGCACGGGACATCACCATCTCGCTGAAGGCACTTGCGGGATTAGACTCTACCTTCGGAGTACCTTTCTGACCGCAGACCCCGCATCCACAATGTAACAAAGAACCACCAAACGACATCGTCCCTCAACAACAAAACGTCCGACCCTAGCACCCATAAACCCTGGTACCCATAAACCCTGGTAGCCATAAACCCTGGTACCCAGAAACCAGAAACACTGAACCCGAAACCCCAATCCAGGGTAGGGTTTAGGGTTTAGGTTTAGGGATTAGGATTTAAAGCTTAGGGTTTAGGGTTTAGGGTTTAGGGTTTAGGGTTTAGGATGCAGGGTTTAGGGTAAGTACCGCATGGCCCCGCAGGGCCGATCCTTGTCCGCATTGTGGAAGATCAGGTGGATGGAAGGCTCCAGCTTGGGATTTCCCAGGTCGATGCATGCCTGGGCTCCCAGCTGAACCCTCCAGGGTTTAGGGGTTTGGGGTTTAGGGTTTAGGGTTTGGGGTTTAGGGTTTAGGGTTTCGGGCTCAGGGCTTCGGGAATCCTAAGCCTAAAGATTCCCACAAAAAGGGTTCAGACCCTAAACCCAAAACCCGAAACCCTAAACCCCCTTCTCAAAATCGAACAAAGGGTGCCCCTCTTGGGCCCTGGCAGCCACGAACTCGGTCCAGTCCTGAGGTAGGGCTTGGGGTTCAGGGTCAGGGATTCAGGGCTCAGGGTCAGGAATTCAGGGTTCAGGGTTCAGGGTTCAGGGTTCAGGGTTCAGGGTTCAGGGTTGAGGGTTTAGGGTTTAGGGTTTAGAGTTTCGGGCCCACTCAGCTCGGTGCCACCGCATTCTTGTTCTGGCTCAGGTTCATGGCGCTGGCGGCACCTGGTGCGAGCTGGTCTTTCATGTAGGGTCTAGGGTCATCCTCCTGCAGAAGCCGTCGTGCTCCTACTATTGTGATGGTGACTATATGTTTATGTGTATATATGCATGAAGGTATATACATATACCTTTGTATATATATATATAGTCCTTCATACGTATTGCTATACATATATATATATATATGTGTAAATATATATATATATATATATATATATATATATATATGTGTATGTATATATATATGCATGCTTAAAAGAGGAACTATGCATCCGTATTATGGTGACTTGCTTCCACTCCTTCTAAGTTCCTGCAGCAGCAACCCCGTATCGAAGGGGGGATCCCCAGAGGCATCGGCGTTTGGCTTGCTGCTCTTCGTAGCCGCAGTTCACGAACTTGCGGACCTGAGCATGTTTAGGGTTTAGGGTTTAGGGTTTAGGGTTTAGGGTTTAGGGTTTAGGGTTTAGGGTTTAGGGTTTAGGGTTTAGGGTTTAGGGTTTAGGGTTTAGGGTTTAGGGTTTCGGCGGAAAATCCTATGAGAACCTGCCAACAAAAGGGGGAGACCCAAGGATGCAGCAGGAGTGCAGGAATAGGAATATTGTCTGCACCCACACATCTTGACACATCTCACATCACACAGGGGGCGCGGGGTCTAACGCCGTAACCTGTGCCTCGGACCAAGACGGATTCCTGGAGTACGCCCGTGCCTTCGTCATCGAACCTCGGCGCAAGGAGCTGAGGGCAGCTTAGGGTGTAGGGCATTACGGCTTCCAATGATTTTAGAATGAGGAATTCCTTTGTTAAGCTCTGGTCTCCTCTCTTGTTTCCCCCAAAATAGCTGCAACTTTCATCTGGGAGCAATTCTGCGGCAGTCAACCCGCTCGAAACCTTCTAAAAGCTTCTCACGAGAGGCCGGCTAACATGGTGGCATGGTGCGGGGCTCTAGAAGTTTGGCGAAAGAGGCAAAAGGGCCCTCGAAGGAACAAAACAGACAAGACCTCACACATCCCTTGGACCGGTCTTGCCAGGACTTGGGAGGCCTTTGGGCCGGGTGTCTCGTAGGCAGTGGAGTGCATGCCCCACTCACTTTTAAGTGCTATGAAGTATATATGTATATATATATATATTATATCACTATTCCTCCGTGATTCCATACTACGTTTTGCTACAGCAGACAGGATTACCCTTCTGATGCAGGATGAGAACAGAAGCCGAGAAGGAAGGAATCAGAGGACACTCAGCTCAGGCCGGTCTCAGGTTCGGACTCTTTGAAGACGCTCTTGAAGGACGGCATCTCGTTCGGAGGCCAGTCCTCTCGACACTTTCAAGCATGTCCGGGTTCAGGATGCAGAGCTTCGTGCATTAGGGATATTGGGGTTTTGGAGCTGGAAACCGAATGAAACCGAGAGCACCTGCGCGATCTTCAAGCAGATCAGCTTGTAGAAGGCCTAATGGCTCTTGCGCTGCAACGCGACGCAGGGCACGCCAGCTAGGGGACGCAGGCTTGGAATGAACACCTGGCCAAGCGGCGTCTCTCTCACAGGTGGTGACCAAGCGGTTGATCAACTTCAGGCCCTTCTCCTCACAAAAACTCTATCTTTAGGGTGTAGGGTTGAGGTGTGTAGGGTTTAGGGTTTAGGGTTTAGGGTCTAGGGTCTAGGGTTTAGGGTTTAGGGTTTAGGGTTTAGGGTTTAGGGTTTAGGGTTTAGGGTTTAGGGTTTAGGGTTTAGGGTTTAGGGTTTAGGGTTTAGGGTTTAGGGTTTAGAGTTTAGGGTTTAGGGTTTAGGGTTTAGGGTTTAGGGTTGCTCCATCTCAAGGGCTTCAGGGTTTCAGAGAGACGTTGTGTGGCTGCTTTTCTCGGGCCATAGGCTTGTATCAGGAGTTGTAGAAGGGTTTAGAATGGCATCTACCTAACATCAATCACGCCCATACGACAGAGTCCAACTTCAACAAGTCAACAAGTTATGTCACTCGCTCTCTCTCTCCCTCCCTCCCTCCCTCCCTCCCTCCCTCCCTCCCTCCTCCCTCCCCCCTCCCTCCCCCTCCCTCCCTCCCTCCCTCCCTCCCTCCCTCCCTCCCTCCCTCCTCCCTCCCCCTCCCCCCCCCCTCCCTCCCCCTCCCTCCCCCCTCCCTCCCCCCTCCCTCCCTCCCTCCCTCCTCCCTCCCCCTCCTCCCCCTCCCTCCCTCCCCCCCCTCCCTCCCTCCCTCCCTCCCTCCCTCCCTCCCTCCCTCCCCCCCCTCCCTCTCCCTCCCTCCCCCTCCCTCCCTCCCTCCTCCCTCCTCCCTCTCGTCCCTCTCTCTCTCTCCTCTCTCTCCTCTTCTCTCTCTCTCTCTCTCTCTCTCTCTCGCTCGCTCTTAGATATGTGAGTGTCTATATATATATGTATGTATATATATATATATATATATATATGAAAAACAGGCATCTATGTATGTACGTATGCATGTATACAAGTATGTATCGCAAAACCGGAGGGCCGAGCCGCCAGAAGCCCGAGGGTCCAGCTCTACATCCTTCAGCCTCCAACCCGTCGAGCCCTCGAGCCCTCAACCCCTGAACCCCTCAACCCCTCAAGTCCTCAACCCTATGGCCACGCCCTCAATCCTCAACCCTAAGCCCTCAACCCTCAACCCTAAACCCTAAACCCTAAACCCTAAACCCCAAACCCCTCACAAAAGCGAGAAGATGCGGGTCCATCTGCGTCACCGGGAGGCCCTCCGAGGCCTGGGGCGTGCGAAGGCACCCTTCCCCAGAACCCAGCTGGGCTTTAGTGTTTAGGGTTTAGGGTTTAGGTTTTAGGTCTACGGTTTTGGGGTTTAGGGGTTGGGGGTTAAGGGTTTCGGGGTTTAGGGGTTCGGGCCTGGAGTTTCGGTTACATCCCAGGGCTCAAAGGTCTAAAAATGCTGAAGTGGGCTCGCTCTGGAAAATGAACACCCTAAACCCTAAACCCCAAAAATTGGCACCCTTCTGGGTGACTTCTTTCACGACAGAGAGCCTTGGCGTGGGAACCCAACAAGACAAGGGACCATGTTGTAGACTGAAACCCTAAACCCTAAACCCCTAAGACCCTAAACCCCTAAACCCCTAAACCCCCAAACCCAAGCTCCTCGGCCCTGCGCGCGGCTGACAAATGCGTCCTTGAGGCCGTCGGCGGCGTTCATGCGCCTCGGGCGATCCTGGCTGTGGGAGATTTGGAAAGTTTCGGGGCTCCGCGCTGGAGTTTCCGGGTGTATGTGTTTACCTGTGGCGAGATCTGTACTGGCACAGTACTTATACATACATACATACATACATACATACATACGTACATACATACATACATACATACATACATACATACATACATACATACATACATACATACATACATACATACATGCGTACATGCGTACATGCGTACATGCGTACATGCGTACATGCGTACATGCATACATGCATACATGCATACATGCATACATGCATACATGCACACATGCATACATGCATACATGCATACATGCGTACATGCATACATGCATACATGCATACATGCATACATGCATACATGTACATATGTATGTGGACATTACGTATGTCCGAACCAGTAAAACAAATGCGCTGCCTCACGATCACATTGTTTGGGAAAACTCAGCTGCCCTCAGAGATGCTGAGCCTGTTCCAGCATCTTAGCCATCAGGCTTTGTGCGTCGGCAGGTGCGCGCTGCACTCGTTCCTCAGGATGAGGCTTGACAGGGCTGTGCCACACTTTGGGCCACTTAACACCAATCCGGGGTCGCGGGCCCAGTGGGGTCGTGGCTTGGCCTCCCAGAAGTTGCGTGCCTCCTGCTTGTTCCCACCTGCAAGCGACGCAACGCAGTTTGACAAGAAGACGCACACTTTTTCTTGGACCCGGGCGGTACTTGAAGTCCCAAGGAGTCTGGAAGCCTCACAGTGCCACACATTCACGGAGGAGGACCGAGCATGCGGCTGCGGGATACATTCCGAGTCCACGACTCAGGAGCTCGAAGAGCACACAGCCACAGCTGAAGACATCGGCCTGGCTCAGCCAGCGCATGGACATTCAAACTCTTGTCAGTGCTTCCTGCCTTCGGTGTGATCTCTCCTCGCCAAACTTCAGGCCTCTCGTAATGTCGAGCTCTCACAAGTAGAGGATAGCAACAACATGCGTCCAGTGAGATCGTGTTTCGTTGGATCTGAGGCACAAGCGCCATTGTAGAGGGCGTGCCCATCGGGTTTCCACGCTTGAAATTTCCCGGCTGAAAGATCGTGGCCTCGGGACATCATGGCGTGAGGCGGACCCACAGGAAGATGAGAGAGCCTACCCTAAACCCTAAACCCCCCGAAGCCCTGAACCCTAAACCCTCTAATCCCTCAACCCTTAACCCCCCAAGGTCCGAAACCCTGAATCCTGAACCCTAAACCCCAAACCCCAAACCCCAAACCCTAAACCCTAAACCCTAAACCCTAAACCCTAAACCCTGAACCGAGCTTCGCCCCACCGAGGAAGGCACCACGCCCAGATCGATGACGATGATGTGAGGAAGCCTTAGGTTTTCACGTCCCAGCAAGAAGGGTTTGGATAAACAAGCAAGGAGAAGGAGAATGAAGCATGAGGGCTTTGGGGATTTTAGGGGTTTAGGGCAGTTTAGGGGTGGCTTAGGGGTTTAGGATTTAGGGGTTTAGGGTTTAGGGCTTGGAGGTGTGTCGCCAAGAGGCTCCTTGAAGATGTCAATGGAGCAAACGGCCTCGAGATTCGCAACCATGGAGTTTAACCCCCCAAGCCTTGCCCTGAACAAACCCTAAACCCCTAAACCCCCAAACCCCTAAACCCCCAAGCCCAAACCCCAAACCCCTAAACCCGACCGGAGTGCATTCTGGCTGGAGAGCCTCGTTGGGCTCCGCTTGCACAAACCGCACCTTCGTCTCCAAAGCCGGCATAAGCCTAAGCGGTGCTGGGTTTTTCGGTTTGGGTTGAGGGTTTAGGGTTGAGGGTTTAAGGTTCAGGAGGGTTTAGGGTTCAGCAGGGTTTAGGGGTTTAGGGGTTTAGGGTTTAGGGTTTCGGAGGGTGTGGATTTAGGGGTGGAAGGCTCTCAACTCAAAAGCCCCTCAATCCAGGGCCCCCAGCATGATGTTCTGCGATTTGATGTCCAGGTGGATGATGCCATTCGCGTGGATGTGGGTCACAGCGCCAAGGAGCTGGTTTGTCGGGGGATTGCTCAAGGGGAGGGGTTTAGAACTTCGGGCTTTGGGGGTCTGCGGTTCTAGCGATTCGTGTGGCTTCTGCTACGACATGGACTTTACAAAGGAGTCCCTTTTTAAAGACATCAACCCTAAAGCCTGAAAGTCTAAAACCCCAAAACCCTGAAACCCTAAAACCGTAAAACCCGAGAACCCTAAAAACCCTAAAACCCGAGAACCCTAAAACCCTAAAACCCTAAAACCCAAACCCTAAAACCCTAAAACCCTAACACCCTAAAACCCTAAAACCCTAAAACCCAAAAACCCTAAAACCCTAAAACCCTAAAACCCTAAACCCCTAAGCTTCAACCGAGAGCATTGCCCCGCCTGCTGCATGACGTGGGCGATCCACACCTGCTTTGGGCCCCGGCTCCGGCTCCAGATCTTCCTAAACCCGAAACCGCAAAACCCTAAACCCTAAACCCCAAACGCACTCTAAATCCTAAACCCTAAGCCCTAAACCTTAAACCCTATACTGCAAGGCGGACGATAATCAGGAGTTTTGCAAAGGGTGGGGGCATGGGGAGTCCTGTCCGGAGCCCCTACGCACCCAGCCTGGGGGATGGGCTTCCAGGAGTTTTTGGCATCGCCTCGGAGGCGATCTACGATGCCATACTGGGTCCAAGGCGTTTGGGGGTTGGGGTTTTGGGTGGTTTAGGGTTTCGGGTTTAGGGTATTGTCAGGGTTGAGGGTGCAGGGTGGAGGGGATTAGGGCTTAGGGTACGGGGTGTGTCTCGGCAAGCGGCAGATGTGCTTGTGCAGCTCTCCACGCGAGCAGTGATCCGTCACCTGCCGAGGATGCGTGTTGGGCATGCTTTTCCTTCGCCTATTGCTTCGGGCTGCAAAGTGCAGCACATGCCGTGCCCGGCACCAGGAAAATCCGGTCTGGGCTGTTGTAAAACTCCAAGAGCTTGAGGACCTCGGAAGTGCAGGAGCATCAAAGCAGAAGCATCTCCAAGTCTTGAGCCCATCACGTGGGGATGATCTAGCTGGATCAGGTTTTGAATCTCCTGCTTCAGGAACGCCATGTCTCCGTGCACCTGGGACAAAGGAGCACAAAGCCACGTGGGTGCTGGCTTGGGCCCTTCCGCCGTTCCTGCCTTCTCCTTGTTGATGATCTTGATGGCCCGGGTTTGCCTGCAACTTCTATTTGTCACATCTCGGAAAAAAACAAACAAGGAAAACTCTGCAGCAAACATGCGCCTGGTTTGCTTGTCCTTGGCCTTGACCACTTCACCATACGTGCCCTTGCCCAGCGTCTCACCTTCCAAGGCCAGGGGAAGGTGCCACACGGGCTGTTGTTGCTACGGCTGCTTCGTGAGGTCAGCGCAGATCTCGTAGCGCGAGTCGGGGGTGCCAGGAATGGCCGTCTCAGCAACATCCTTCTGCAGCGCCTAGGAGACTTGCCAGCAGGGTCTCGGCCGTGGAACAGAGACCAACACGGCCAGCGGAACCTGCACGGACATGTCCTGCTGGAGATGCGCAATGTCCGAGAAAATCATGCGGAAGTCATCGAACCTCACGGCAGCGAAAAAAACTCCACCAAGAAATGCATGGTAAGAATATCGCTCCAGGAACCCTACTTCTAGCTACCCATGCACCCCAAACTAAACCCCTAAACCCCTAAGCCCCCAAACCCCTAAACCCCTAAACCCCTCAACCCCCAAACCCCTCAACCCCTCAACCCCTCAACCCCTAAACCCCTAAACCCCCAGCCCGGAACCTTAAAGTACCGACCCTCGAGTCCCTGACGACAGACAGCCACTCTGGCTCTGCATCTTCACCTGTGCCGAGGGGGTTTAGGGTTTAGGGTTGAGGGTTTAGGGTTTAGGGTTTGGGGTTGAGTGAGGGTTTCGGGTTTCGGGTTTCGGGTTTCGGGTTTAGGGTTTCGGGTTTCGGGTTTAGGGTTTAGGGTTTAGGGTTTAGGGTTTAGGGTTTAGGGTTTAGGGTTTAGGGTTTAGGGTTTAGGGTTTAGGGTTTAGGGTTTAGGGTGTTGAGCTCACGGCCGCAACCCTACAGCTGGCCATGAAGCCCCCAAACCCCAGAAGCCCGAACCCCAAGCCCCCAGAAATCCCTGAAACCCCAAACACCTGAACCCTTTAGGGTTTAGGGTTTAGGGTTTAGGGCTTAGGGTTTAGGGTTTAGGGTTTAGGGGTGGAGCCCCAAAAACAGCCAAACTGGCGAACTGGGCTCTGCTTCTCAGCGTGGACAGCTGCGGGCTTCGCAAATCAGTTCCCTCTTTTCCGGCAGGAACAATGCTTAGATGGTGGCTTCCGACATGGGGGGTACTATTTGGGGGTCGGGGGCCCTTCTCCTAAGGAAATCATACTATTTCGGGGTCCTATCTTAGGAATTCCCTGTTTCCGAAAACCCCCAGAATGAATGCTTACAATGACGCATCTGAAAGTTTCTGCAAACCCCTAAACCCTAGACCCTAAACCCTAAACCCTCAACCCTCAACCCTGAACCCTCAACCCTCAACCCTAATTACCAAGTCAGAAGGGCTTCTAAGATCCCAGGGGTGCATACCCAACGGGCCATGTATGCCTCGTAAGTAAGCAAGAGACCTTAAACCCTGAACCCTAAGCCCTAAAACCCTAAACCCTAAACCCTAAAACCCTAAACCCTAAACCCTAAACCCTAAACCCTAAACCCTAAACCCTAAACCCCAATCCAAAGGATCCCTATCAGTTTGCAAGGTCTTTCGGACTCTCGGCTCGGGGCCTTCAGGTGCACCTGGCAGCCCAACAGGCCCACGAAAGTGTTCACCTGGAGGGGGTACATTGGGGCTTGGGGGCTTAGGTTTAGGGTTTAGGGTTTAGGGTTTAGGGTTTAGGGTTTAGGGTTTAGGGTGTAGGGTTTAGGGCTTTTTCGACCTTAGGGCTTAAGGCTTATGATTTAGAGACGTGCCCGCCTTCTCCCCGAGCAGCATGGCTTCGTCGAGGCTTTTAACTCGGCACAGCCCAGCGGCTTAGGATTGAGGGTCTTAGGGGCTTAGGGTTCAGGGTTTAGGGTTTAGGGTTTAGGGTTTCGGGTTTCGGGTTTCGGGTTTGGGGTTTAGGGTTACCCATACACCCCCCCCAAGGCGGCTCTTCCCAAGATGAGGCACAGGCTAACTTGGGATTTTGATCGCCCAATCTCAGAGAAGAACCTACGCAGGGCTCGGATGCATTCCGGATGCGATCACCCTGGGAAGCTCCAACATGCCAGCTAAACATCCGCAAGTATAGGTCTGCAGCACACCATTGATGTCCGACACCAGCCTTTCAGCCTGCGTCTCCAGCTCCACGTTTGCCAGCATACTGTGCACTGCGGAAACCTGGTCTGACCCCTAACAATGGGGGGTTTCCGACATCAGGGGGTACCTTTTTGGGGTCCTTATTACAAGGGGATCCTACTATTTGGGGGGTTTATTTTAGGAGTCCCCTATCTTCGGAAACCTCCACATCTCTACACACCGCTCATCCCGCCCACTTCCATGACGTCGCGGAGCCTGTTCGGGAGTAGGCATTCGCCGGGGACGAATCTTCCATTGGTCGTGCAGGCGCAAGGCCTGGGTCTCACAAATGCTTTTAGCTGGCCATCTGCCAGATTCCTGCCCGTATGGGGTCCGAAAAAAGGGGTCCGTTATAAGGGGGTTCTCTTCTATTTGGGGCATGCAAGAGGGTTATATACCCCGATGTTGGGAAATGCTCAACGGCGTGGCATGGCCCGGGTGGCCGACCGTTCCAGGCTTCACATCCAGAATAATTCCGCCGGACCTTGCGGAAGCAGACAGACACCCGCACGTGCAAAACTTGCCCCCAAAAAACCCTCAGCCCAAGTGAAAAGCAGGGTTTTGGGTTTAGGGTTGAGGGTTTAGGGTTTAGGGTTTAGGGTCTAGGGTTTAGGGTTTAGGGTCTAGGGTTTGGGGTTTGGGGTTTAGGGTGTATTCCCAGAGGGTTTAGGGTTTAGGGCGCTTAGGCAAAAACAGCACACAACGTTCAACCGGGCCATGCACTCGGGGTCAACGTCGAGGATGGACGCTGGGATCCAGCACCTTCCAAGGCGTGCGCACAAACTGCGAGCTCACCTTGGGTGACTTGCTGAGGGTTGCTCTTCCAGCATCATACGTAGTCTGGAAAATCTACCAGCATAAAACGCAATAGAGTTGTGTTATCACAGAATAGAATGCAGCATGCTAAAACACAGAGCACAAAACATAGAGACCCAACAAGGGTAGATTTGCCTCAGCGCCCCGTATCCCACCACAACCCCTAAACCCAAAACCCTAAACCCTCAGCCCTGAACCCTCAACCCTAAACCCTAAACCCTAAACCCTAAACCCTAAACCCCTAGACCCCTAGACCCCTAAACCCCTGAACCCCAAACCCTAAACCCCAATCACGGAGCCGCCGCCTGTGGTACTCACTCCAATAGTCGACCTGGGGAAACAGAGGACACGTTGCGGGGCTTCCCAGGATCACCCGCTGAAGCTCCCAAACAAAACAAAACAGGACTGTTGGGGTTTAGGGTTTAGGGTTTAGGGGTTTAGGGGTTTAGGGGTTTAGGGGTTTAGGGTCTTAGGGTTTAGGGTTGAGGCTTGAGGGTTGAGGGTTGAGGGTTGAAGGGTTTCGGGTTTAGGGGTTTGGGGTTTAGGGGTCTAGGCCTTAGGGTGTGGAGTTTTTATGGTCAGCTGTCTGCTTCGGCTGCTGAAAGTCAGGATCCCAGGAGCTGCGGATCTGCGCGTTGAGCTTACTTTTACCATTAGATTGATTGAGTTTGGTCGGAATATTTGGAAGGCTTTGTTCTGATTCTGACCTTCTTACTTTTAAACATTATACTTGAACTTGTTCTACACTTTACTTGAACTTATATACATTATACTTGACCTTGTTCTACATCTTACTTGAACTTATACACATTCTTCTTCAACTTCCTCCCCCGGGCGCCCAAGACAAAGCACCAAGCTCGCCACCCACTGGCCCTTCACCTTGCGGAAGGACTCGACAGGCACAGGATGAGCCTGGCCCCAGGGGTAGAGGTGAGACTGGGTTTAGGGTTTAGGGTTTAGGGTTTAGGGTTTTGAAGCCGCTTCAAGCCAGGGTCGATAAATTTTAGTGCCACTTCCCTCGCCTGCTTGGCAGCAAGCAGCTGTTGCTGCAACTTGTGCGCATGGTAGCACGGCTCGTGCCGTGCATGGGGCTGCTGGTGCTGCTCATCGCGCGGTGCACTCGCCAGGCGTTGTGGCCTTGCCGCCGAAGAATTCAAAGAGTCTGTAGCCCCTCCCTGAACCCTCAACCCTCAACCCTCAACCCTAAACCCTAAACCCTAAACCCTGAACCCTAAACCCTAAACCCTAAACCCTACCCAGACACAAGGCTCCGACCCCTGGACTTGCAGATAGCACTGTCGGAGATTGGGCCTCGGAGCAGCAAGAGAAGTTGCACCCAAAGGAGAATCCTAAGGAACCAGGGCCTCCGTTTACAACCCCCTACGACCCTAAACCCTGAACCCTAAACCCTAAGCCCTAAACCGACCTCAAAAAAAGAGCCTCCTCCTCTTCCACTAGGCCCGGCACACGGGCGTTGGACTTCGAACCTGAGACCATCACAGTGAAGTCGCGGGCCCCCACTTGCACAACCCGTACAGCGCTGTTCACGTATATGTGTGTATATATAGGTATATATATATATGCATACGTATAATATATATATATATATATATCTTTATATATAGTGAAACATTGATATTGATATAGTCATACATAATGTACTTGTGTGTATACATATATGATTTGACATGATATATATATATATATATAGACTCATACTGGCATCTGTACTTACATTTGGATTTACATGTGCAGTTATTGTGATGATGAAACGTAGACTGGCACATGTGTGTTTATGCAGTTAGATAGTCGTGTATATACATATTCTTGCTCTATTACATATGTATCTATAGGTACATTTCTGTATATATCGATGATAATTATACATATACACATATATCTATTTGGTATCATGTATATATAGAAATATAAATATTTATGTATATACATATGCAAATGTATGTTTTTCATACAATTATACACTTGTATAATTGTATGTTCTATGTGCACACATACATTTTAAATCTATTGTTTGCATGTTTATGTTTGTAATATCTGTGTGCACATGTATGTATGTATATATATATATACATATATGTATATATCTTATTTACGGAGTTATTTACTAACTTATGCAACAGACGTCCTCATGTCTGTACTCATTCATTCAGACTTGCCTTATCCTTGTAAATTTTGTTGGCACAGCAATAGACAACCGAGCTGCAGACGGAAAGGACTTTTAGAAAGCTTCCTTCGGGTATCCAGAGAAAAACGACACGGAAGCCACATGGCACCACGTCGTACGGTTCAAACGCTTCAAATCGAGATGCCTCCCAAAAAGCATCTTGGATGCTCGACCAAGGCAAGTGACAAGTGAAAATCATGTAGATCGAATTGAAGAGGCCCACATCTTTGATGTTGCCAGAATTTGGGCCTGTCATTAAGCTTGCGTCAGAAAAGGCTTCCACCCCACTGTTGGTCTTTCCATTGCTGAAACGACGACTTGTTCTGTCGCTCATACCATATCAGAAACTCCGGGTATGTTTGAGCAGCTGGTGTCACAAACTCCCGGTACGACGAAAACAACCGCTCACGGTCTGCCAGAACAGAATGAAAACAGCCGGTTTGCATGTCGTTCTTGAGCTTCGCCACATCAACGTGGAATTCCGAGGCGAGCTTCCGTGCACGGCCCAGTGTCACGCGACACAAGAGCATGCAGCAGAGGCCTCCGTGGTCATGGACATCGGTGTGCTCCGCCACTGAGGCGTACATGTCTGCTTTGGAGGAACATTCTGTAAAGTAGATCCCAGACCCGAATGCTGAGCCATGCTCAAGGAGGTGATGGTCCTCGAAGCCTTCCTCGAAAATCGACATCACATTGGTTGGCGACGTGCCATGGAAGAGCCAATGCTCATTTGCAGCTTTCGCCAGAGGCATCGGGATTTGCTCGTCGACGATCGTATCAACACTCGTCGATGCATGGGGGAAGTGCTCTGCAGATTCCCTCGACAGCTGCATGGCAATCTCCTTGCGTGTTTGAACGTAACAGTCCCAGAGCTCCGAATGCATAACCCGCTCGACCTCAACAACTTTGAGATGATCCGCTTTGAGCTTGACGTCCTTCACCTGGAAGGTACGGTTGATCACCTCCGATACCCACAGAAGCATCGCCGTCTTCAAGAAGGAATGCTCACCAATCCGCGCACCGGCACGGAAGAGGAACATCTTCACTTCGATGTTGCGCTCACTAAAGCTGGCATTTCGATTGCGGAAGTGCAGCTGCAAAACGGCGTTTCCTTCGCAGAAAGGCGTCTGTCCATGAAAGCTCTGACCACAATCGTGCTCCAACTCGTGCGAGCCATCGTCGGTCAGCAAGACCGCCTTGACATCCAAACCTGGGCCTCTCTCCTTCATTGTCACGATCCAGTGAACGCCATCGTCCACAAAGGTACCTTCCACGGAGGTCGACCCCCCGGCACCCAGACGAATGGACCAGATCCGGCCACGCCAGTTGTCCTTGCGGAGGTGCATGGAGCTCCTGACCGAAGGAGTGTGCGGGATGGTGAAGCCGTTGGAGAGAATTCTGGAGACCGCCGTCCGCACATTCACGACGAGCTTGTCGGAGAAGGACCGGGTCAACTCTGTGTGGTCTGCGGAGTTGCTCCGGACGGGGGAGCTGCCCGGGCTGCGCAGGACGCGGCCCTTTCTGGCCGCGGACGCCGCGCCGCTTTGCTTCCTGCGAACGCAAGGCCTGCTGCCCCAAAGGCTGGCAGAGCAGCACCCGGCCGCAAAGCTTCCCAGGCAGAGCGTCAGGCTCTCAGCTACCATGGTCGACTTGCCCTACTTGGGCCTTGAAGTAGGAAACGGCTGCAAAAAGGCAGGCTACATTACGAACTCAACAACCCAGGAACACATGTCGGGTTCGGAGACCTCTGACAAAAGAAACACCATAAAACGAGAGATCTGAAACCTGGGGGCCATGCATCCGCCATTTGAAGAACCTGTGGCTGCGGCTTTGCTCATGCTTTGCGTCTATGCGGCCAGGGCCAACGATTGGGATGCTCCCCCATATACTAACGGTCCTTAAGAGGCACTATAGTACCCCCAATTATAATCCCTACTAAGGACTGTCAAGAGAAAGGGGAAGCATCCCAAGCCAACGACCTGTCAGGCTCTCAGGGCACGGCAGCAAGGCAGGGCTTGGGAGAGGATGAAGAAATAAACACACAAAGTGCTTGAGCATGGAGGCGGCAAATGCAGCATGCTCAGGGTTTAGGGTTCAGGGTTCAGGGTTTATATAGGGTTTAGGGTTTAGGGTTTAGGGTTTAGGTTAACAAAATTCCAGGGTAGCTACTTCATGCTGCGTGATGCAACTTAGCGCCATTCTGCCATATGGGCAGCTCTCTAAAACGTGATGCCTCATGTCTGAGTACCGTACATACAAGGCTGGCTTCAGAAGGGACCACACCCTCGAGAACTGGCCATATCACACCCTAAACCCTAAACCCTAAAACTCTAAACCCTAAACCCTAAAACCCTAAACCCTCAAACCCTAACACCCTAAACCCTAAACCCTAAACCCTCTCTCTAAACTCTTGCCTTCAGAAAGGCGACCCGGCTGCCATTGAGCTCAGACTCACACCTGGCTGCGAGCGCACATGCTCGGGCGCCAGCCACTTGGGGCTTGCAACGGAAACCTAAACCCTAAACCCTAAACCCTAAACCCACGTGGGGCTTGCAACGGAAACCTTTTCTGGAGAGTAAGGCGTGCTCTTCCTGGGGATTACCACAAGCAACAAGAGAAAAGTGCAAAACTGGAGAAGGTCAAGATCCCATGAGCTAAGGGTATCTACAGTAGGGTTCCTGTTTTGAAGCGAACCAGGCTGTAACTGATACCCCCCCCCCTCCAAACGGGCACCACAAATCAGCGCGGGGAGTGCAGTGCTCCGTGGGCGTCCCTGCGGCCTCCACATGACAAGGAGTGATGTCGTCCTTTCTGGGCCCCTCTTAGCGCATATAAAATACGCGAGAATTTTGAGAACTGACTGCACGGACGTACAAGGAAGGATTTCATGAGCACAGCTTACAGTGGGGGTTTAGGGTGCAGAGCCGGGAAAATGGAAAGTACAGAGTCCGAAAGCACAAGAAACCAGATGATGCCAGGAAAGTGCACACAACAAGCAGAAGTGATAACAAATGCAAAAAAGCCCTGAAGCCCCAAAAGCCCTGAACCTCAAAAACCCTGAACGCCTAAACCCTGAAGCCCTAAAACCCCTAGAGCCCTAACCCGAAACCCGAAACCCTAAACCCTGAACCCTACCGTAACCCCTAAACTGCCCTAAATCCTCCGAGCTGTGGCCTTGTGATGGCGGGAGCCGCATGGTCTTGAGCTCCACGGGATCCTCAGGCGGCACCTGGGAGCCACGTTGAAGGGTTTAGGGTTTAGGGTTTAGGGTTTAGGATTTAGGTTTTAGGGTGTTTGTTAGGGTTTAGGGTTTAGGTTTTAGGGTTTAAGATTCAGGGTTGAGGGCTCAGGGTTTAGGATGTCGGGTTTCAGGGTTTAGGGCTTAGGGTTTAGGGTGTAGGGCTTAGGGTTTGTTAGGGTTTTGGATTTAGGGTTTTGTGTTTAGGGTTTTGAGGGTTGAGGGTTTTGAAGGTTGAGGTTTAGGGTTGAAGGTTCAGGGTATAGGGTGTAGGGTTTAAGGGTTTAGGGATTGGGGATGCGGGTGTAGGGTTTAGGGTTTATAAGGGTTTAGGATTTAGGGTTTAGGGTTTAGGGTGAGGGTTTTGAGGGTTCAGGGTTTGGGGTGTAGGGTTTAAGGGTTTAGGGCTTAGGGCTTAGGGTTTAGGGTTTAGGGATGCGCCTTTTGGGGTTCTGAGGGTTTAGGGCTCTGGGCTTTGGGTCTCGGATGAGCGCCTGAGAGTCAGCGGAAGGCTTCCACTCCGACCTCGAAGGCACAAGGATCAAGGGTTTAGGGCTTGTGGGTTTAGTTAGGGTTTAGGGTTTAGGGTTTAGGGTTTAGGGTTTAGGGTTTCGGGTTTGGGGCTTGTGGGGGTTCCAGGGTTTATTGTACAACACGAGCTGCCTACTCTGCTGGAAAAGCTGAGGGAAGGGCCATGTGTCCAGAAACAGCCCTGGCCTAAACGCAGCGCGTGAGGATACGCATCCTTTGACTCAATCGTCGCTCTGCCCGAGTCTCGCACGGCATGCTACCTGTCTCTTGGAGATCTGTCGTCCTGGCAAGGCCGCACAGCATCATAAACCTGCAGCAACTTCCCAGGGCGCATCAACGCAGAGCCAGTGAAGCGAATCTTCGCCCAGGTAATTCGAGACCTGAGCACCACAGCATGAACTCCTGAAAGCAGAAATCAGACCCCACCTTGGCATGAAGAGGTGGGAAGGGCATCGAATAATCGTGGCCTTCACAGCAGCAGGTGGAATCAGAAGCGACCGCTGCTACCAGCTGCCAGCATCAGTATGCTGAGAGGCCTGTCCATTGCCTGTCTGGCAGGGAGCCCGGCCTCCGTTTCCGCGGTTGAGGGTTCAAGGCCTTTGAGGCCTTCGATTCGTGCCTTTAGAGTTTAGGGCGCACACTGATTACAGGATTGTGTCAGTTCTTGTGAGGCAGACTCTCGGACACCATGCAAAATCTACTGCAACATCTTTCTGGCCTCGGGCTGCCCATCCTTCAGCATTGTAGCATGAGCAGCTCACAAACCAGTGCTCTGGCTTTCAGTGTGGCCACGCTCGTGAAAAGTCTCTAAATCGACTGGTCATGCTGGTCGAAAATGGGCTTCTCAATCTGCATGTGAGCATCAAGCTTCCAGCCAAACAATGCACCGAAAGCATGTCCATGTTTGATACCTCAAATCTGGGCAGCACCCTTTCTGCAGCCTCGGTCTGCAGACTGTACACACAGATATGCGGCTACATGCAAATCAACAGCCAAGGCTGAACATGGCTGAACTACCCAATCGTCTGCGTTTGCAGACAGGTCCTCCGAGCTGTACACGATTGCATGGAAAACAGAGGCTGCGAGGCAGCCAGCGTGTTTCCTGCAAACGTTGGGCACACCGAGCCCCGACCAACAACTATTATGGGCCCCCATGGGGGAATGATGCGTTATGAGTTATAACTTATAACGAAGTATAATATCATATATAGCATGCTGGTACTCAGCCAGCAATGTCTGGAGAACTACGAGATGGCTTGCAGGGCACACCTGCACGGGGCTTCTTTCTCAATGCGGAATGGGAAGTGAGGACGGTGAGGTCGTGCATTGCCCTCAATCTCTCGAGCCTGTGGCGCCCCTCGAGGCGGCAATCTTGTGTTTGCTGCTCTCGCTGCTGCTGTTGGAGGCTAGCAAGCTCCTGCTTGTTGGCAACTCGGACCAAGGTATCAGGACCCGGAGCTTTGTCCTTGATGTAGATGGTGAGAACCGGAGTGGCAACATTCCCGTCCATCTGTGGCTGGACGGTGTGTGGAGTCACAGCCTTGATGTAGTAGGAGCCACGCTCCTGGTGCGTGTGAGCTGCGATGACTGACAAGTGCCCAGGCTTGCCGACAGGATGCTCGAATGAAGGATCTTTGGCGCGATTGACGACGAAGTAATGCCCACCATCCAAGCCCGCTTCCCCGTCTGGTACGCCCCAAATCTTGTGCCAATACCTCCCACTGAGGCAGTAGCTGAAAAAGTTGGACCGGTGGTTGTGTATGTAGGTCTCCGTCGGATCCATGAACATGTGCAGCCTCACTTCGATGCCGTCACCATCAAACAAGTGCACCCGGGTCATGATGCCAGGAACCTCATCCACGAGCGTGGTGTGATTCAGGCATGTCAACCAACTGGCTCCAGAGACCCAGTCCTGCATTAACTTTCCAAGTCTTGAGATCTCAGCCATGTCCTTAGATGCTCAATACCGGTCAATACCCCAACATGTTCCTTTGCCGTGAATGTCTGGCGACTTGATTACCAGTAACAACCTGCAGCGCCCCCTATAAACAAACTGGGTTCGGGTGTAAAAAAAAAGGGGAGGCTCTTCGGACTCATCCAGGAGTTTCTTCGGCCTGCCTTGCACTTCCGCATCAAGTGCCTGGATGGCTTCGAAGACCTGCTGCCGCAACTTCGCCTGCAACCAGACTCAGCATGCAAAAGGAGCAAACAACCTGTGGGCGTCATGTTGAACGATGTCTGACATCTTAAACCTAACTCCCATCCTGCTGACTGTACCGTCTGACAGATTCCGTGGCGAAGATCCAATCCGCTCCATGAAGCTTGCGCACTTCGAAGCGCGGACGTCCATCACTGTGGCGTTCGTCTTGTACGACGTGCTGCAGAAACTCACCATGTCCTCTAAAACTGGATAAGCTCAAAGCGCTGTTCCACGGGCAACTGCTAAACTCCGTCTCTTGCAAGAAGGCTGCAAGTTCCGTGGCAGCATGTTTTTGCGCCCGGCGACAGCACGACGGCCCTTCCGCCAAACGAACCATATCCCCATCAAGCACATAGCGTGGGACACCATTCTTCGCTGATTTTTGCAGAGCATGGAGGACCTGCTCATGCTTCCAGTCCCAACCATTGACTCTCAACGCATCTTGAATGTCATCCAGCGGCATGCAGCCACCAAGGCTGCAAAGCAGTTTCTTCGTGGCTTTGCTGATTTGTGCCATTTGGGCCTGGGTTGCAACAGCTTCAAAGCTTTCAGGTTGCAATGGACATGATTCACCAGCAGCCTTGCATCCCCTGGGTCCAGGTCGTTGGCGCTGCGTCAAGCCAACCATGTCACCATCAACAAAGAACCGCGGAACTCCATTTTTTGCAGACGTCTGCAACACATCCAAGAGTTGTTGATGATCAACCGCCCTGCCAAGCTTAGCGATCACCATCTCTTGAATCTGCTTGAGACGCAAAGGCCCGTCTGCGCGACGCAGCAGGCGCTTTGCGGACACACTGATCTGCAGCTGGACCACCGAATCGACATCACAGCGGGTCATCGGTGATGAATCCCGAGCGTCTCGACTATGAACCCGAAAGACTGCGCCAAAAGCTATCACGAGAATACATGAAACTGACACACGCGAGGCTATATTTTTGCATGTGTATTACTTATGCTCACGTCATTGTTACTGTTACTCACACACCGGTACAACTGTTGTTATAACCGTTTTCTCAATGTCCGCTTCGAACCTGGGGGATTCTCTGTTTTTCATCCTGGCATCGCCTTGCAATCTGTACGAGGTCGAATGCACTGGTGCACATCGCCAGGGCCTGGTCCTTTGCGCTCATTTGAATACTTGAATGTTTGGTTGAGTTTGCGTAGCTTTCCAAAGCAAAGTAAGCGGAGTGTTTGGGCGCCCTTCCACTTGCAGTTTCTTCCAACGCCTACGTGTTTGCTGTTTGCTGGCAAGTCTGGTGCAACTCACATGAGTTCAGCTCTACTCAAGCTCGTTTGCCCTGCATGCAGATGGCAACTACTGTAGATCACGCACGCTTAGGCTTACATGGCTTGATTGGAACGACAAAAACGTCTGAAGAAAACGTCTCAAAACGTCAGATTGTGGAGCGGCTTTGAAAAAAATGGGTCGCACGGTGAACACATCTAAGGTGTAGTGTGCGGACACCACCGCCAAGCCAGGAAGCAATGAGACCCATTCCGCAGCGCCTTTGACGTGGAGAAACTAGCCTCGGAGTGAAGGTTTTAGTTTTGCAGTTCGTGGCAGGCTACCGATCACGGACATGCCTCATCTAACGCCACGCTTCTCCAAGATTGTGGTTCAAGAGCAGTTGCAGGAACTGGCAGGTATGTACGAGCGCGCGCGTGGTTTCTTGGCCCAATCACATTGTACCCCTGGGCAGAGAAGGTAGCCCAACATGTCAAGAAAGCCCAGAACCTAAATCCCGAGGGCACACAAGGCCCAAAACATGCGATAATGATAGGAAAAACTCTACCTCTTGGGGATAGCATCTTGAGACTAGGATGTACCTATGACAAAACGCATGTTTCGCGGAGTCTTCCCGCAGGGCACAGCGATAAAACAGTACCGCTGCCATGAATTCTATTTGTGAGTTTTTTTGAAGCTACCTCTCGGTGATAGTCACGTGAGGCTAGCTTGAGACGCTTACAAAATGCCTGTTCCGCGCAGCCTTCCCGCAGGGCACAGCGATAAAACAGAACTGCCATTTGAAACGTAACCTCAAGAAATGGGTTTTGTATGGGGGGGGGTCTGTGTTGTTGTCGGAACGATACCCGAACGATACCGCGAACGATACCTCGGACCTGTCTTGGCAAGGCCAAGGCCAACATGCACTCGAACCTATGAATGCGACATGGCTGTGAGTCGGAATCAGGGGTATGTCGCGGTGTCCCGCCCTTTGTTACATGCGTTCGACATTCCCTGTTGCGTCATAAAGCCTGTGTTGCAAAAAGACACCGGGGGCCTGCTACACACCCTGGACTTCTGATTTAATTACTACCCTGAACCCGGATTGCAACGAGCGATGACGCCCTCGCAGGTGCACCTTGGCGTTTCGATGCGTTTCGTGCATTAAATACAGCATATAAAACGGTCACATATTCACATGCTCATTGCTAGCGTGCCCTCGCGTTTCGTGTTCCAAACGAAGCTTACAGAACTATAGCCTGGCAAGCACCAACTATGTGAATCTTGCTAATTCCGCATGGCACACAGCGATTGGGTTAGGGTTTAAGGCTTGCGGGCTAATGAACCACATCGACCCAGTACGTTGTACACAAGTTTTGGTTTCAGTGCTTATGATCTCAAGCATGCATAACTTGAGAAGAATTGCGTGTTCCGCTGTGCAGGTGCCTTATCCTGAGCAATGGTATCAAGGCGGGACGCCACCCTAATGGCCCTAAGGCATATGTAAGTGCATTGAGATTGTTCACTACGTTGTCCATGCTTCTCTTTTCAGCTTGATCCAACAAATGTGTGAGGTGTCCGGCAAAGACTTGCCGGACCCGCTCAAAATGCGACAGAAGACTTACAAGACATCCTTTTTGAACGCGGCACGGATATGGGCTTTATCCCGGATAGTCCTCAAGATATGGGCTTCCGCGATGCCGAGACGGACGTCTTCGGGACCCCCATGGACAGAGACAGTGTCTTGGAGGGTGGGCATGCGAAAGAGTACTCCCAAGCCTGAGGCCGAGGAGTATTGAGTCTGTGATGCGCATGCGGGATGGTAGTTTCCGCCCAGCGAGGACGAGGACGACCGCGACGCCGCGAAGAGGAGAGTCGATGGTAAAATGAGGACACCCTCCCGAAAACACACTCCAGGCAGGCAGCGAACGATCACGAAGACCAAGGAGCTGCAAATGCCGTGACATGACAACATGGGACAAAGGACGAATAGAAAAGCCCCGGTCAGCCAAGACTTTAAGGACTGCCTCATGAGAAATGCATCCCCAGTGATATGCGAGTAATAAGCAGAAGGCAGCTTAAGAATGCTGCGAAGCTCTTTCATGCCGAGCGTGTCCAATCGCTTGTATTGCGACGGTGACATAGCCTCAGACTCCAACGAATACACCACCACCGCTTGGAAGATAGCAGTGTAGACTTGGAGTTTGACGGACAGAACGACACCCGCGGGAACCGCCCTCAGGGCTCAGGGCCTCAAGCCTTTAGGACCTCAAGGCCTGAAGCTTTTCACCTTTAAGATTCCTGGAGCCCAAGGCCCTCAGGGCCTCAAGCCTTACTGCGTAAGCCCTTAACCCTAAACACAAACCCTTAAAAAGATCATCCGGGAAAAACTTGGTATTATTGAGGGTAGCCAGACAAAGTTACTAAAGACAGCCTGACCGGCCCGCGGGCAACCTATCACAAAATTTGTTTGGGGCCTCGTTTCGTAATGAATTTGCATAAGGCTTTACATGGAACTGGCCGGGCTTAGATGTCTGGATTTTCCGCGCTCTGGCTCTTTAAGATTCCTGGAGCCCAAGACTGTCAGGGCCTCAAGCCTTATGGCGTAAGCCCTTAACCCAAAACACAAACCCTTAAACACATAAAAACGTCCGGAAAAAACTTGTGATAACAGCGGGTACCCTGAACAAACTCGGCTCGCAGAATAAATTTTCGAAACTTGTGATTATGGACCCCGCTTATATTAAAGTCAGTGCAACATTAATGCAATACGAAGCAGCACCATGTGTGTGTGTTTCCTGGAGAAGAACAATGTCTAAGTGGTAGGTTTCAATAGCTCTGACAAGCACGCGATGCTTGCCGGGGCTTCGGAGACCCTCCACGTTCCAGGCGGCACAAAGGAAGCCTTTTCAGGCGCGCCGCCCGGATCAGAGCGTGGGATTACGAGTTCCCACCTGGAGCTGGCAAAGAAGCCTTAAAGGCGCCAGCATTGGAAGACAAGTCACAGCCAACCGTGTGAAGAGCTTCTTGAACCCTTTGGGAATCCCCCGGAGCATCTACAACTAGGGTCAATTCTTCGAGCTCCTTTTTCAATGAACGGTAGCGTTGCCGATTGGCACGCAAATTCTCTATTCTACGCGAGCGAGCTGCCGCAGAACGCCTGGACTTGCGATGGGATTCCATATCAGGGGGCACTTCGCTGCCGCTCGGATCCCTGCGGACACCGACAAGACGCAACAAGTAGCGCGTTTGCTCAAGCCACTGGGGAAAAGAACGGCGGCATCCCGCCTCACCTCGCCACGAAGAATCAAGTACTGGAACACAGACTTGCGCGAGTAAAACACCACGAGAGAAGGAATCTTCGTGTCGCGCAGATACCATTTTGGAGGTAGCACTGAGTGGAATCGTGCCAAAGCGCAGACGAACGTGCTGTCCTGGCAAGCACCTCTTTCAAAGCTTAAAGTGGAAAGCCGAAGTGTGGCATCGGAGATACTACCGCGACCGATAGCAAGAGCGCGATCAATCAAGGACTTATTTCCACGCCGCATGCACATCAAAGAGTTCAAAGCCTCTGTGCAAACGCGGTCCCCACTGCAAACTGCGTGAGTCAACACTGGCACCAAATGTGCCTGTGGGGGGCAGCGGACTATCTGCCAGCCGCCTATGGGAGCCCATGCCTCGGGGCTTCCTGGTTGAACGGCCAGGTTATCATCTCCAAGGCCGATTTCGGCCAGCTTATGTTTCGACCCAAGGGCTCAAAACAGCAGGACGTGATCTGTCACCTCATGACCCGTTTCCACAAGGGCAGTGAAACTTTGTTCGTCCAGGAAATGAGGGCCTGCTTGACGGTGTCCTCGGCTGCAAGCTCTGCAATCTCATCGAAGTCCGTTTGCATGGCCTTTTGTGGCTCAGAAAGATCCTCCCAAGGAACGTTGAGGGCCCTTCCACTTCTTGTTTTGCTTGCAGTTCATCGGCCTCGATCTTTACAATCTGCGAAACTGCTGAAGGATTGGGCGATGCCGGAGCCATGGCTCCGCAGCTGGGCCATGGAGTCGAGAAAGCGCGCAGCTCTTCGGCAGAAAGTTTGTCACCAACCTGCGCCTTCGCCATGGCCATCACATCTGCTTGCGCAGGGACATCGGAGGAAGGCTCGGGCTTTGGACGTTTGCCCGCAGGGTTTCCTTGGAGCCGAACATTTTGCGAAAGGCGCGGCGAATGGGGAGGTGCGAAAATGCCCCAAAGCCGCACCGAAGACGAACAGCGGAATGAGCCACACGAGTGCGCCCACCGCCAGCAAGAGCCAAAGCTACGAGCTGTTCAAAGCAAGGAGCCGCTTCTGCAGGCACTGCTGGGCCGTGCCCAGTACCCCAGCTAATTCTGGATCGACCGGTATTCGGCCGCTAACGTCTGATTTGAGGCTTTGCCGAAAAGTCCACCAACGAGAAACGATATGAAACGATGCATCTTGAACTTGCTGATCTGATGAGTTGGACACTATTGGATTTGCGACTCTGATCAAGGAACAGAAGGCGCACCAGATCGCCAACCAAATGGGTCGAAAAAGAAACGCTTCTTGCTCCGCAGCAAAATCGCCCGACTCCCGACACCCAGGCACTCTCCTTTTTCGGACGGGATCCAAACTGCAGGCAGGCGGCGCAACGAGGGTCAGCGCCTCTTTGAGCCGCTGGCCTCGTGCAATCCGCTAGGTTTCTGCGACGGGCTTCGGTGAAGCACCTCGGATTTGAGCAAGGAAGCTGCGGAGAAAAGGACGTTACGTTACTGTATGATGGCCGTTTGTCTGCTTTGGATGTCTGCTGAAAATCTCGTCGCGCTTTGCGACGTGACAGCAGGCACCAACTAGCACCACAACTGCTCAACAAAATCAAGCTTTGCTGCTGCCACAGATTCGGTTCGATAAGTAGGTTTAAGCTGCTGGCCAGAAGAGGAAAGCAGCTTCGATCCGGCACATCCCTCGGGGACGGGGACGAAAAGCGACAGGTTTAAAACCACCTCAACTTGGGACTGGGTGAGTGGCGGAGCCCTGCGCAAAGGCTCCCCCCACATCTGCCCAATCGTTCGGGAGAATAGGTTGATCGATCCTTTGAAAGCTATCGATCCACCTCCTGGGCCTGTGAGAATACACTCCTTTGTGCTTGCCGTCAGAACCCGTCAAAAAATAAAGACCTCCTCCCTCGTTCATGCCCGTATAGGACTCGAGAGGAATCAATTCTTCATCACCGACGTTGTCGAAAAAGTACTTCTCGGCGGCAACCTCCAGCATGTCGAAAGTAGCAATCTTGCCGTGTTGGAAGACTTTTTGAAAGGCATCTTGCTTGCGAGCTATCTCCTCAAGGGAAAGGATTCGCTTTCTGAAGTCACTTTCGAGGGTGACGTTTCCTCCGCCCCATCCATCTGCATAGATGTTTATGATTGTACAAATGTCAACCTTCTTCTCACTGCTTAGATACAATACTTGGGTGTCTTTGAAGAGCAGCCCGCCGTTGGGCAATTGGAGAGCGCAATCCTGACTGCTCATCGCTTCGATTGCCCAGTTCCGGTTCCACCACTTGCGGATCTTCTTGGCCGTGCACAGCCCAACGATTGAAGCTACAGTGCCAAACACCCAAGCCAACACACCCATGATGCTTGAAGTATGCTGATTCCAAAGGCAGCCAGCCATTCCAAAGATGCTTCTGGCATCAGTTGTAAAGTGCACCATGCAGTCAGCGCTAGGCTTCGGCTTGACGCTCGTGGAGATCGGGCCGGCAACATCCTGCACAAAAGCAAAACAAAACCTGCCGACAACTTTGCAAAGGCACCGACAGATTCTACGATCCTTTAGCCACCGAAGCTTTCCAACCCGTTGAGTCGCAAAGCTCAACTCGTTCACAATTCGCAAGCACGTTCCTTCTTGCCGTCGGTCACGACATCGCTCTGTGCGGTGTCCTGCATACGATAACATTCACCGAGCGGCAGCGTGTTGAAACTTGGCATCAGCAGTGTTCTCGAGCACGACCTGACCTTAGGACATCTTAGGATAGTCATTGGGACTTCCTGAAAGTTGCGGTCCTGCCAACGCTGGTAAGACGGGTTGTCCGCACGCCCAAACTCCTTCACTCTGGAAAAGCTTGCCAAAAAATGGCACCACCAGGGAACTAAGCAGCAAGGCAAAAGTCCTCGACATCACGGAAGCGACTGTCCTTTTGGCATGTTTTTTCGCACACTCTTTGCAACTTGCAGAGCATGCAGTGCTGCAGGCACAAGAAAGGCACCTCCCCGACCCTTGGTCCTGCCAAGGCTGGTAAGATTGGTAGCCCGCACGCCCAACCTCCTCCACGCCAAAGAAGCTTGAACAAATTTGGCAGCAATTCAAGATGCCGACATCATGGAAACGCCTGTGCTTTTGGCATGGTTTTCCGATGCTTCCCACACTCTTTGAAGCAGGTGGTCCAGTGGACGCGAAAGCACACAACAAATGCGCACGTTTGCACTTCTGCCAAGGCTGGTACTCCGTGTGCCCAACCTCCATATGCACAAGACGCTCATTGCCAGGCCCGTGAATTTGCAAAACGGGAACAGTTCTTAACATCCTTAACATTACGCGCTGGTTCCAATCTTTGCACGTTCATGTTAAAACGGCCTAAAAATTCCAAAACAACGCTCTGCACTTGCGGCGGCTTTTAGTTGCTCGCAAACTACAATTTTACGACACTACCTAGCACAGAGTCAAGGCCGTCTCCTGCCAAGAAATGCGGTCAACTTTGTCGACGTATCCATGTCCGGGACCTTGCGCCAAAAAAGGCAGGATATTGCACAGTAGCGTTTGCAGCAAAATTCAGCAAAAACCACCCCCATAAGCTTGGGCGCGGACGATAAGGGCAGAGCAAGTGGTGGCTTCATTCTGGCTTTACGATTCTACAGCAGCTGGGCTTGCGGTACCAAAAAAAAATGCTTAAGGCCACGGTTGCGAATAAAGGTGCAGAAGTGTTGGCGCTAGCAGGTTGGCAAACGCGCAAGGAAAAAGATCTGCGACTTGAAGGTGGCCTCGAAAACCACGGGAATCCAGATAGGGGGCGTCCTACACAAAGAATTCTCCAAATCCGTGACTTCCAGGGTCTGTAAAGAATGGGTGCAAAATACACGGGCAAAGAGTCAAAATATCAGCAAAAAGTAGGCGTCCGAAACCTGCAGGATTTGGGCTGCATGGTCCCACAAAGAACCCGCAATCCATAACAGCCGCGGTCCGTCAAGCCCCCACCTTCCGGGCAACTTTACTCCCTGCCCAATGGCTTTGCGGCCACCTCCCTCATTGTCAGGGACAGGTACAACATAGCGCAGCATGATCTTGGGCACGCACATATGGTCTTGTCGGGCCTTCGGGCTGGATCGAATTCTGGCGCGCTTCTGGAAATGTTACACAGAGTCCGCCTCGGAGCGATCGACATGCCGCACCGCCTTCTGCAACTCTTCCGCATAACCCCGAAGCCCCAGCTGTTATGAAGAAGATAATTGCGTGTGTCTGGCGCCCGACGTGTCCACACTGATCAGGATATATCAGGATACAACATGAATAGACCTTGGAAGCCAAACCTGTCGGCGCTTGCAAGATGCAAAGAGCTAAAAGCGTTTAGCCTCCGTCGGCATTTTCCGAAAAATATTTAACAGGGTCTATTTGAGAAGGTTCCAATTGTAAGAAAAAAATCGGGCGATGCAAAATTTCGGCGAGGCTGTTGCTTAAATCTCCGGACCAGCTCCAAAGCTAAGATTTCCTGGTCATTCTTTGTACCAAGGCCAGCAATCAAAGCCCAAAGGGGGGAGTCCAGCAGAATTTAGAACGTTTGGTTCCCCGGAACTTATTTTTGGTTGCGGGCTGGCTTGGTTGGGATAGATGGATTTAAATTTACATTCATACAAGCTTATCCCTTTGAAAATCATGTGGATCCCTTTTAAAAGCAGAGGAATTCCGTTTAAACTTATATAAATTCCCCCCTTCCCTTGAAATCAATCTCCTCTTTTCTACAGCCGCAGAAAGGTCCGTGAGAAAACCCGGTAGCCAGTGTGGTTGCCGAATGGCATCAAGAGGTGACAATTAAACTTGCCAACACCTCGCACCAACGATGGTACTCTTCAAGCTCATTGAACTCTGCCTTTCCCCATCTTGGGGGCATCCAGCAAAGGAAGCGACGGCAGGTACTTCAAAACACAGCAGAGCGCACAGCGGTCTTCTTTTCACTTACAGCCTTGAGCCAAAGTCAGGTCGGCCGGAGGACGACTTCAAAGTCAACACCGTGAAACTGCAAAAGTTCACAACTCAAAACGGTGCACTTCCCAAGTTCTCCAACCAACTCATTCTCCAAACCCTTCACAACTTCATAAGCTAAGGCTTTGTCAGTGAAACTCTTCACACACAAGTGAAAACTCTACTTTGCCACGTGTTCTCCACAACCATAAAACAAACCTAAACGTCGCCATAAAACAAACCTAAACGTCGGTGGAAGTTCTCGGAACCTACCCAACTACACCCAGGGTCGCGGTTTGATATGCCTCCATAAGGCTTATCCTTCTAGCTGCTCCGCCGGAACACTTTTTTTGCAGCATAAACTTTATTTGGACCACAATTTTTGCATGCTGGAAGACTAACCCAAAGGGCGACTCCGGTACACCTGGTGCCCGAAGAAGTACAATGTTCGCCAGCACCCTGCTGGTCACAGCTGCTGCCAACTTGGTCTTGTCTAGGCAGCACCCGTACCCATCTACAGGTCTCCATCCACCTGCCAGCAGGGCTACGCAGGCCACTCGAGCAGATTGCTGCACCGTGGACCTGGTGGCATCCGAGGTCCCTTAGCTTGAAAGTACAGACCTCCGAATACCGACATGCACACAGGATGGCAGCAATCTCTGGAGGCAGGCGCATGGAAGAACAAAGCAGACGGCCTGCATAACTGTCTCTGCTTGCTTCGGCTTGACAATACTTATGCAAAGAACGAAACTCCAGCAAAACCGGATAAGACATCGGAAAAGTCAAGTCCAAGCGCAGTTTGCTCCAAGAAGGCATCTCAAACTGTCCTTTTTCCACGGTTCTGCATTTTTTTGGCCGTCTGTCTGAGCAG